ATATATCTAACGTAACTTCTCACGACAGTGATAACATTTTCATATTCACGATACAAGTGATCTATAAAAAATCAGTTCGCTCACACAATAAGGTGTGAGACGTCCGCCGTGTATGCGGCAGGGGACAGTCTGATATCATCGGACCGAGGGATTGGACGCTGACGAATGTCGCTATCACCCGGCCATGCCCGACCAGGACTCCGTGGAGTTAGGTTAGATCTAGCTACCGTGTCGACCGCCAGGCTGACAGTCGTAGGATCATTTAGGCCATTGCTTTGTATCCTTCGTTGGGCTGCTATAGACGCTCGCAAGGTCTTCCGTTTCTGCATGAAAAATTAGGCTGAATTACAACCGTGGATAACGACTAAAGCAAAAATCGCACTCGTTTCTTTACTTAAGCTAAATCTATTAGACTTACAAGTTACGTTGCACTGTATCTCAAAGCATAAAGAACTCTTTCAGTGCACCTAACGTTCGTGTACTCGCAAGTACCCGCACCCAAAGAGCTACAGTCATACTTTGTACTTCTAATAGTAGCTTAACTGATACTGGAAGCTCATATAAATACGATAAAGCCGATATAATAAATACTTGTGACCAAGAGCTATGAAGGGTGAGTCGGGGAAGACAAAACATCTGAACGATTTCAGCAAATTCAGTCGAACTCGAGCAGGAGCTTTTGGGTCCAGTATACGAACACTGGTATTAGTTCATCAAAATCTGTCGAAAACATTCAAATGTTTGTGCCCGATGGCTCACCCTGTGTAAACGAAAGCGATACTGATGCAATATAAGAGATGGAGATTGTTGTCTGTCTAGAAATAATGCTATCCTGCGGCAATATATGTAGAAGCCCGATTACATTCCTCATCCCCTAAAGCTGATAGAAGCAAAAACTGGTGCTCGGTCGAATTTCTGGTCGTTACTAGTTTTCAGAACTTCTTGTCGTCGCTCCTACTTCCTCCCGTCCGCCTGCGGTTTACTGATAAACACACAATTCTGAGGAGAGGACAGCGATAGATATCGAACAGAAGAAAAGAGAAAGAACTGATTCGATTACTCCAGGGGGGATCCGCCCTCCGGTTTTCTCACCTCGATCGCTCCCCTCCATTTGTCGGCCGCGTGTCTCGCCAGTTCCATCTTCTTCTGTTTGCGGATTTGGTGTTTCTTATATGCCACCTCGATGATGATCAAACCGATACCACCGATGATTCCTACACCCACCACTATGAACACACCGGCCATATTCTTAAGGCCCAGCGTGTTCGGAGTGTTCTCCAGTTGCTCGCATTGTTGTATGTTTCCTTGGAGGATCCAATGCGTGTCGAGGCTCTCCATGAAACCGCCTATGGGAAACGTTTAGTAGAGAGATAGATTCTGGTGTATTATTAAGCTGCGGTTGTCGATGCGAACGCAGAGCTTTTTGGCCGACATAACTATAACACGTAGATTGAAATCTTAATCTGGAGGATAGCAAACAAGTCACGTACGTAACGCAGAGCTGGCCGCATGGTCGTCTATTTTGGTTCAAGTCACGCACCACGAGGCTAGCTTACTACCATAGGTGAATAGATTGAAGTAAAAGTAGACACTATATTGATCTAACACTTTGCGTTTGGTTATTATCAGCGTGGAATGACTCTTACTTTCGTGAAAGTCTAGAATAGCCAGAGTCACAGCATCTGCCCACAAAGAGCCCTTTTGTAGACCGATTCCGTAGCCAGACCGTCCAAATAATTCTCCGGCAGTGACCAATTCACAGTCCTGAGCAGCCTCGAATTCCAACCGAGAGCTGTCCCAGATAAAAGCCATGAGTTTCCTGAAAAAAGTATCACTCGTCACCAAATCCTTACCTATTAATCTCTCGTATACACGCAACAAAAGTTTCGTAATATTGTTTTAAGGGTAGCGACTCCTACCCAATTTTGATGTCCCTGATGGCTTCCTCAGCAGTGTCGTAATTATTTGCTTCCATGGTGCGATACATGTTGGACAGTTCGACCTGCCGACGGAAGTACATGTCCACTGCTGAGCCCTTCACAGTTGCACACGTGAGATTCTCCATAGTGTTTCTCAGCTGTAAACGAACAGATCCTTTTAGAAATAATTACTTCATTTTTAATTAGTTTCGAAGTTGCGTATACGAATTACACAATTGTGCAAGTTCTTACACGAGCATCATTGATTCCAGTTAATTTCGTCTTCGGCCGTTCCAACACCAAGAATGCAGCCAAGTTGGCAGTGTACGAGGCAACGATAATCATTGCGAATCCTGCCCAAACCATGCCCAATACCCGTGCAGAGAAGCTTCTCGGAGTGCCTATTAAAATTACAGAAAGTCTCATTTATCATGCGAACTATTCTAATCCCGGACGCGCCCTTGCCTCATTAATTCTGGCATTTGAAAATGATCACCGTAAACACAAGCTGAAAAGTCATCCAAACTGTTCAAGCTGTCGTAATTTTCCGTATCATCGAGCATTTTCGTTGCTAAAACGTGGCTAGTGGGGAGCGCATAAGAATCATTGCGTGATTCCATTTTTGTCCTTGTTTAATCGATTTAATTATGCCCCCGTTGGCAAAGGGAGACATTAGCGGTCGCTATAAATACGTTCCTTGGAGGTTCAATGTTAATGGTCGTTAGGAGATGGGGGCACGCTCCACAGGATAATAAAGAATTCCTTTTACACTGATTACAGGTAAAAGTGGACATGGCTGCGCCGAGCTGAAGACCGTGAGTCTTCAGGAAGATTGTTGCGGGGCATCATAAATCAGAGCGTGAAGGCTGTACGTAAAAGTTTACTGTGTACCGAGGATGTTAATTTCCGTGTTGCATGCGATGTTAAGCACAGAGTAGAAGTTTCAAACAATGATTCAGTTTGCAACTTTTTCTCGTTCGTCCCTATTATGTTTTCATAGGTCCAATTTCATATTTGGTGTTTGTTCTCTTTGAGTTTCTTTGATATCTCTAGGATTGTTTTGATCAATACCTTCTCCGATACCGCTGTTGAGCAGGACGCCCCAGGCGAACCATATTGCGCTGGACAAGTTGAGGGCATCCTCTTCGGTACCGTCAGTGTTTGCTAGCTTGAACCTCCCGAAGGGCGAGAACCGGTCGAGGAGGTACAGAACTAGAGCCACTACGTGCACCGACACCATCACCAGTATCCAAAGTGTGTTGCTGAATGGTTGCAGAAACGATACCAGGGTCGACGATCTTGAAGGCTGAGCGTCCAGATTTATTTTGTACAAGAATCTGCAGAGTAATTTATTACGAGTTCAAGATCATACCTTTTTCTCGAGAATAGTGATGCCCTGGTACTTGAAAGGCTTGCTGAACTCGATGAACTCCGCGCGTTCTGGATTGATGGTTAAAGGAGCAACGATCATGTCGGCTCTTTCGTTGACTATTTCCCCTATGAGTCCCGTCCACTCTTTCTTGCCGCCTGATACAGCATTCACTAATGAAGTATTTTGTTTCTACTGGTGAAATTGATATAATTGCGTCTAAAAAACAATTTTCAACCTGAGATATTCTTGATCATGTAGCTGCCAAATTGTCCATCTGGAGACAGAGCCAAGCTGTAAGTGAAATTGATGGTCTCCGATAGCTTCTCTAACAGGTCCATACAGTAGCCCTTGCAACAGTACGTTTTCGTACCTAAAAGCGGTAGAACAATTATTAAGTCGAGTCATAAAATAAGTTCCGTTGCAGTTAGGTAAACTCTATTGTTCGTATCTAGCGCCTATAGGTCACCGGGACAAACGAATTTTTGCTTTCACTAAATGGATAAGGGTTCAAAATAGATAAAATAAAAAAGACAAAGAAAATAAACAAAAGAAAAAAAATAAATGTCTAATAAAGAAACGGAAGTTATTTATGACTCGACCAAATAGAATACATCGGTCGATCGTATCGGAGAACTGTACAAGATTTCGCTGTTTACTTTCGTGTTCGGTGGCGTTAAAATGAGGACACAGAATCTCCTCCGGCTGGCAGGATTCGCTCTCAGAGATCTCGCGGACATAAACGAACGGCTTCTCTTCGATTGTGAGCACTTTTAAATGCGTGGGGATCATGTAACCTTCCGGCTTTGTTCGTAACCGGCCAGGCCAAGTTATGTTTGATTCGTTCACCATTAGCTTCATCTTGGTGATATTCTGGCCCACGTTCAACTGCAATATGAAATTTCTTTTTTCGCGAATTCTTCAAAGTAATCAGAATTCTTTTTTTTATAAAATTATGGTTTCCTCTATAGCTCACAATGGGATAGAAATATTTTCCAACGGAGACCCTTTCGCCTCTTTCCTGAATATTGATGATGTGGTACTCGGCGAAAATCCGGTCCCCATTGTCGTCGAAAGCTACATTTCCGGTGGTACCGTTCGGCAGTACTTGCTTCCGGATGAATCTAAATTGAGAATGCGTGATAGCATAAATCTTCACCACTTGATCTAGCAAAGATGCAGGTAGTGGACGGAAAGCGTACCCGAACAGGCTCTTCCCAGTTTCCCAAATGGTGCCGGAGTCGTCGCAATCCTTCGGCGGCTCTGTGATCAATTCTGTTTTGTTCATTTCGTTCAACGCTTTTACCAGTACCAGCCTGCAACATACACCTCACTAATTACGGATAGAGGAAGTTAATTTCTACCTCCGCTAATAGCCTTCTTATAGGACATAGTAATCATATTTCGTACTATTCATTCTGAAGGAGTTAGCAGCTCCTGAATGTCGACGGTCTTAATTTAAGCGTTGACGCTCAATATAAAACTATCTTAAATTCAATTTGAAATGTCTGCTCGGAGGCAATAGAAAAAAGCAATTGTTGCATGCAGCATCTACGAGAAAACCAGATGCAAGGAAGATCGTACCATCCTGTTCTAAAAGTTTGCTTTCACAAAAGAAGAAACTATTTCGAATTCGTCTCAATAGAAAACGAAACTTTCAGGACAGCCTGATGCTTAAGCTAACAGAGCAGCTGGCGTCTGCGTGAACAATCGCAAGGCAAGCATCATTAGCGTCTCGACAAGACGAGGTTCTTGACTCGTAAGTCTTCCCATGCGCGTGTATCAGAGTCTCTCACGGTTTTTTTTTGATGGTGGAACAGGGACAACATTATCTAGACACGAAGCTACACATCAATGTACGGATCAGAAAAAGGAACTGACAGACTATCGTGGATGTGAGCCTCCTCTTTCTCCGCGTTAATTAATTTCAAGCCGAGAAGACCTTCCGGTGCATTTGGCGCATCTAAGGCTTGCTCCGTGACGATCCAAACGTATCCTGCGTCGGTCATATTCAGGGCTGCAGCGTCTCGGAAGATTACGTCCGCATCAGTTTTTCTATAAAGCAGAAAAGAGGATGATCGGTATTTAACCAATGCTAAGTCATTAGGGAAAACAACGACGGATACTTACGACGCGTACAACAAATACACTCTGGATTGCGCCGCCTTCATGTCCATCAGCTGTTGCGTGAAATTCTCCAGACCGGGTTCGAACTCGATGATGGGGTCCACCTGTTCGGAATAACGTTTCATGGATTTTTTCTTTGATAGTTAGCTCCTTATAGTTCTAATCAGGCGTACAAGTAATAGAGGAGAAGTTAATACGCTCTCCTTCGTGTAGATCTACCTGAACTTTAATCTCTACATCCGCATCCAAGTTCTGCGAGGTGGTCTGAAACCGGCCGAGCAAAGCCCGGCCATCGGTGTCGGAGCTATGGATGAAGATCACCTTTAAGTAATTAAAATGTTTCAGAAGATCCACCCACACGTCTGCCTGATGCGAGTACGGCGGTACCGTGCGCAGGAAAGAGACGTGAATGTTCTGAAACAGGTGGGATTTACTATATATTGCATGGTTGTTTACATCCTGCGACAGAGTTCGTAAACGTACAATAAAATCTTCGACGCGTGTCACGTAATAATTCCGGTAATGCGATACTGATGTAATGGAGGTATTATTTGGAAATCTTATTTGTGGCAACTTGGACGAATTTTGGTCTATTAGACCGTAAAGTGTAATTAATCGTTTCCTTCCTTTTAATGAGAACAGTCTAAAAAAGATCGTCTAAAACGAGAAACAATCCCTCGTATATTCGCATGTATGAAATATAATCATTTAAATTGAACATTGAAGAGTCACTCGATGTCTTAATGAGGTCCTTGAAACTTGTACCTATGAATTATTCAAGCAGCATTTTGCATGAGGATTCGTCATTCTCGCGGCTAAGATTCGCAATGTTTGCAAGCCACTTTCGAGTCAAGGCTGGTATTATTTCCGGCCAGAAGGTTGGAAGGTTTCAATGTCGTCAGGATCTCGGTTTTTCGGAGATTAAGGGGTAAACGGGTCGACTCACTTTGTCGGAGAACGCCGAATCTCTCGACGATATGCCGATAACGGGTATGTGGTAGAATCCGTTTGTGTAGGACACAGCTGCCGGCGACAAGTCCCCAGTCAGGGGATGGGAGACCACCACTGCATACACCCTCTTTGCGATCAAGTAGTTGCACACGCTCAGCGCCATTTTAATTGGATTCGAGTCCATCTGGATCACCGTGTGCGTGTAAGATACTCCTTTCCTGACGTACTTCGAGTCTAAGTTTAAGTTCTGAAACGAACCAACGTTGTCCCTCGTGATCAGTCCGTTCCCAATCGGAGAAGCTACAGGTCTTCATGCATAATGAACGATGTCTACATCGACGAAAGCGTCGGGAGAAAATATTCAAATTATTTCTCCTCTGAAAGCAGATTCTTAAATTCGTACTTCACGTGATTGTGACGAATACACCCGACCAGGGGTTGGTCAGTAATTGGACGCGTGTCAAGGTTTTTTTTTAAATTAAAATATTCAAACGAGGGGCGGGTACTAAGTGTTCCTCAAGGGATACCGTTTTAATGGACCCGCCTCGAGAACAGCACACCCCCGCTTATTACTTACTTTGATTTTCTGCTCGAAATGAGCTCTGCTCTCGTTCGACAATACAGCGCCGATGTTGAAGAGGGTGGGATTGTTGGCCTGGAACTCGGCGTGTCCATTGTAGATTTCGTCGTTCAAGACAATCAAGAGGAGGAATAATAAGGCTCCTTCGTATTTCGCCATTGCGGGGGATCGATCTACAGGGAGCAATACATTCTATGCAGTTTATCAAACGGTAAGGGAACGAAATAGGTAGAAATCGGTTAAAAATACCGCTGTTATAGCAAAATTATGGTTCCATGGTTTCCGATAACGATTACCGTCGACATTCTCGTTAATACGATACTCAAACGAGAAAGAAAATTGCCTGTCGTCGGCCCCGAGAAAATGCAATCGAACGTACCGATCGGAGTCCAGCCAGAGACCGTTCACGCAATTACAGAAGAGCCGCCGGTTCGACTCATTTGGAAAACGGTTCACGCCCTTGCCGAGGTTCCCTAGAAACGGACGACCAGCGTCAACGTCGAGCGCGAAGGTGGATCTGCGAGACAGAACTCGGGGACTCATTGATCCGTTCGGATGCTGCGCACAGTCTCCGTCCCCACTATCGCGATTTTCGGCTGTTTTTGTGTTTTTTCAACGGATCATTACGGCCGTTTTCGACCATACACCGGGTCCCCCGTTTGTTCCTCGAATATCGACGATTCGATCGGCAGCAGCATTGCGATCGATCGGGTAAGCCGCGTGCGGGGAAACACGTCGGGGAATCATTACCAAGTCGAGCGATTGAGTAATTCAACCGGTCGTTCGATAGTCTCATCGACAGCAATAAACTTTGCATTGGTATTGACGTGGGAGTGGGAAACCTGAAGAAGCATCATCGGGGCATTTAACGACGAGCGAGGTTTCTCGTAAATGACCTCTCGTCGCGATCATCTATCCCTTTTAATGGTAACCGTCGATCGCGGCGATGGCAATTGAAATCGCGGCTCGCTTTCTCGCGAGGATCATCCGATCGGGAGCAATTAAAGCGACGGCGGTTGCGGAAAAGTGGGTCGACCGCAGGACAACAAACCGATAGCCCTCTTGTATTGTTCAGGAGGCCACGTGGTGGTGACTACCGCGAGATGCCAGTGCGTCGACGGTGGCTATCGATCCCGTAAGTTTCCATTCGGTGGCGACCTCCCTGCGTGCGCACCACTTTCATCTCGGTTATTTACCAAGTGCCCTTAGTCCGAGTCAGGAGAATCCTGGGGAACGTGTAAATGGTGAGAAGCAGGACGACGGGCTGGTAATCCGAAATCAAAACGGGGGACGAACAGGGGGAACGTAGACAGAGAGCAAGAAAGGGTGGCACGTAGAGGGTGTACTCCTCGGGGCGGCTTCGAAGGGCAGAGTCCGTGGAGAACGTGGAGAGAAACTAAAGAGAGNTAATAAGGCTCCTTCGTATTTCGCCATTGCGGGGGATCGATCTACAGGGAGCAATACATTCTATGCAGTTTATCAAACGGTAAGGGAACGAAATAGGTAGAAATCGGTTAAAAATACCGCTGTTATAGCAAAATTATGGTTCCATGGTTTCCGATAACGATTACCGTCGACATTCTCGTTAATACGATACTCAAACGAGAAAGAAAATTGCCTGTCGTCGGCCCCGAGAAAATGCAATCGAACGTACCGATCGGAGTCCAGCCAGAGACCGTTCACGCAATTACAGAAGAGCCGCCGGTTCGACTCATTTGGAAAACGGTTCACGCCCTTGCCGAGGTTCCCTAGAAACGGACGACCAGCGTCAACGTCGAGCGCGAAGGTGGATCTGCGAGACAGAACTCGGGGACTCATTGATCCGTTCGGATGCTGCGCACAGTCTCCGTCCCCACTATCGCGATTTTCGGCTGTTTTTGTGTTTTTTCAACGGATCATTACGGCCGTTTTCGACCATACACCGGGTCCCCCGTTTGTTCCTCGAATATCGACGATTCGATCGGCAGCAGCATTGCGATCGATCGGGTAAGCCGCGTGCGGGGAAACACGTCGGGGAATCATTACCAAGTCGAGCGATTGAGTAATTCAACCGGTCGTTCGATAGTCTCATCGACAGCAATAAACTTTGCATTGGTATTGACGTGGGAGTGGGAAACCTGAAGAAGCATCATCGGGGCATTTAACGACGAGCGAGGTTTCTCGTAAATGACCTCTCGTCGCGATCATCTATCCCTTTTAATGGTAACCGTCGATCGCGGCGATGGCAATTGAAATCGCGGCTCGCTTTCTCGCGAGGATCATCCGATCGGGAGCAATTAAAGCGACGGCGGTTGCGGAAAAGTGGGTCGACCGCAGGACAACAAACCGATAGCCCTCTTGTATTGTTCAGGAGGCCACGTGGTGGTGACTACCGCGAGATGCCAGTGCGTCGACGGTGGCTATCGATCCCGTAAGTTTCCATTCGGTGGCGACCTCCCTGCGTGCGCACCACTTTCATCTCGGTTATTTACCAAGTGCCCTTAGTCCGAGTCAGGAGAATCCTGGGGAACGTGTAAATGGTGAGAAGCAGGACGACGGGCTGGTAATCCGAAATCAAAACGGGGGACGAACAGGGGGAACGTAGACAGAGAGCAAGAAAGGGTGGCACGTAGAGGGTGTACTCCTCGGGGCGGCTTCGAAGGGCAGAGTCCGTGGAGAACGTGGAGAGAAACTAAAGAGAGAGAGAGAGAGAGAGAGAGAGAGAGAGAGAGAAAGAGAGAGATAGAGACGGAGGGTACCAAGACAACCGGCCAGCGATCAGCGCACGGTGTTAACAGTGTGGTTTGTCCTGGTTGCGAGGAAGGTAGCAGAGGATAGACGACAGTTTACCAAGTCCAGCGAGCGAAGAAAGGCCAAGTAACGTAACTCCAATGTATTACGGTCCCCCTATTGTGAACGAAGCCACTGAAATATGTCGTTACCACGAGAATGGAGCCTCCAGGATTCGGTCGAGCGTGACCCTGTCGCCTGCGCGACAGCGTCGCAGGAGATGGTCGTCACGAACGGCATCGACGAGAATATGAATCAACAGAATCAGCTGGGCTCGCTGTTGTCCATACACTCGGCGCCCGTGTTCGACCTGAGCACAGGCGTGCCGTCACCGAAGAGGCCGGCCTCCTTATCGGTGCAGGCGACGGCCACCTCGACGCCGGTCGTACCGCCCCATCTGCAGAGCCCGGAGACCATCGAGGACGAGGACAACGACAACCTTCTGACGATATCGAGCCTGACCGCCAGACCGTTGATCGCGAAGTCACGCGAGCTACGCTCGACCAGATGTTCCGCCGCCAAGAAAAGGAAGAGGAACGAGGCCAGGAAGCCCAGGAACATCACCTACGTTCCACTCGACGGTGGCTACGGATGGGTGATCGTGTTCGGGGCGTTCTTCGTCCAGTTCTGGGTAGCCGGACTGGTCAAATCGTACGGGGTCCTCTACGTCGAGGTCATGGAAACGTTCAAGGACTCCTCGGCCTCCGTCGCGTCCTGGATACCGGCTATTTTGTCTTGTCTCTGTCTAGCGCTTGGTGAGTAATCCTCGAATCGATCCAGAAGGATAGACGCGTTCAGTTTCCAGGGGGTGGACTCGGGGAACGCTTTCGGTACACTTAACACGTTCACTGTCCTTCGACTCGGATCTGGGTCACGCGGAGTTTTACATGTAAATTGGTGACTAACGCGCGTGGCTCGTGGCAATAAAAGGACTTTGTTAGTCGGTCCGACGATTTTTTTTTTTTCGAATCAGCAAGCCAGCCCCTTTCCAAGCTGCGAAATTACCTGATTCTCTTTCTCTCTCGGGAGGACTGGAAAGTGAACGAGTTGATGCTACGAAACGCGATGTCAAGGATGCCTAGCTAGGATTCAATGTTTTGTTCGATATTCTAGCACCCGTGACGAGCATGCTCTGCCAGAAGTACAGCTGTCGGGCGGTCGTCTTCGTCGGAGGATTGTTCTGCGCTTTAGGACTAACTCTAAGTTACTTTGCCACGAGCTTGATACACCTCTTTTTTACTTTTGGAGTTTTAACAGGTTTGTCCAGCCTTTCGCATACGACGCTGCGAAAACGTGGAGGTGTACTCTGTGATCGGGACCGAGTACGCCTGTATGTTTCGTAACACTCTGATCGGATCGTTTTGTATATGCATTTCGAACGTTGTATGTATATCTGAGCAACGCGACTCGTTACGTAAGAGGTCTGGGTGCGAATCATTGGAAATAGAAAATCGTAAACGATGGTGCGACCAATTATTTCGTGTAATTAAATACATATATCTGCTTCGACACGATCGCCGAGGTAAACGTAAATATCGTTTTTTCAACGAACAAGATATTTTTCCTTGGACCGTTTGCAAGCTCTATATAGCGATCGATGACGGATCTCGCGAATGATCTAGAATTACGTTCCGGTTTCATGAAATTTTGCCAAAACTTCTTTTCATTCAGTATTGACTACTTCGTGTTCACCCAAACCAAGACGGTTGCAAACTCACGCGGAAATACCAAGAGTTATGTAATCATTGCCGTCGAGGCTGTCGTAAGCCTTGGCCCTTTGAAAGATGACCGCAACGTTTCCCGAACGTTGTTGCAGTTGACATAACGATGGCAAATACCTATCTATTTTAGCGGAAATTCTTTCAGGGAAAGATATGCAAGGGGGCATAATCTGTTGATGATTTTTGAATCAGGTATCGGTGGCGGTCTATCGACGACGCCGGGCATCATCATCGTCTCACAATACTTCGATAAGCACCGCGCCCTGGCGAACGGGATCTGCGTTTCCGGCACTGCCGCTGGCAGCTTCGTGTTTCCGCTTCTGATCGAGGTCCTCGTGGAGAGCTTCGGCTTCCATGGGACGATCCTGCTTCTGGGCGGTTGCATGCTCCACGTGTGCGTGAGCGCGACCTTGTACCGGCCGCTTGAGAATAATTACGCTCCGGAAGCGCTGGACGTAATTGTCGAGAAGTTCGAGAAAGTTGAAAGCGCACCGACCGCGAAAGAATTGGAAGCGGCGAAGCAGCAGAAGCTGGACTTGATATTCGCGAACCACGACTCCACTACCAAACATAATTTGTTGAATGAATTGTTCCATCAGAACGGCGTGGTGGCGGTCGAGCTGACCGACAGCGAGGAAGAGAAGGACGTAATCGGCGAGTGTCTCAGGATGAAGCCGATCTCGAAGATACGAAGCTCCAGTATATTGCACAGCGTCGAGGATCTGTCGACCGACTCCACGTGTGTGTATAAGGCCAGATCGTCGTTGAGATCATTGCGATCATCGATCACGGCGGTCTGTCAGCCTCCTCAGACCGAGCCGCAAGTTCTGCCCGAGAAGCCGAAAACCATCATGGAGAAGATAATGCAATACATTGATTTATCTCTATTGAAAAATCCGCAGTTCATCATGATGTGTATCTCGGTCAGCCTCATGTCGACCGGAAGTCCGTACATGCTGTACTATCTTCCGGCGTATGTTCACGCGGCTGGCTACACCAAGTCTGAAGCCGGATATCTGGTCGCCATTTCCGCTGCCCTTGACTTGTGCGGAAGACTCGGACTTGGCTGGCTCTCAGACCTGCATCTGTTCGACCGACGGAAAGGATACATCGGAAGGTATTTTAACAACCCTTCTCTAGGCAGAAATAGTCACTTTTAGGGTGACATTGGTCTCCAACTGTGGAGACTTGATATTTAAAATTTGTTGCATCAGAATCTCAATAATAAGAAGGTACTGCGATATTTCCGCAGAAATATTATTAAAGAACGTATAGAAATAGATACTCGGTTCCCCAGATAAGGTCAAAGGTGATCTATAGTCGCTAACTCCATCTTAAAGGTGTCTATAGCCATTCGTTAAAATTTTATTCAACGTCAGGTAAATTTCCTATATTGTGGCCACAGTGGGGTGATTTTACGCATTTGACTTGTGAGAGGATCGATTGTGTGATTTATTGAGTTATTTTTCTGGCTCTCTTTAACAGTGTCGTGGGTGCTGGTGTAGCTGTGCTAGCGATCCCGATGGCCCACTCGTTCTATGTGCTGGCATGCTCAGTTGGCATGTACGGACTGTGTTTGGGTTGTTGGTTTCTCTTAGTTCCCGTCCTTCTTGCTGACCAATACGGCACCGACAAAATATCCTCAACCTACGGTCTCGTTAGGATGTTCCAAAGCGTCGGAGCTATTTCTATTCCGCCTTTAGCAGGTACTTAATCCATAGTACAATATAGAATTATAAAATGCTTTGATTTATTTAATGTTACAAATTAATAAGTCCGAAGGTGCTCTCGGTTTCTGCATGGTAGTCTCAGCTGAGGTATCGTTTTCTTCGCGTCTCTAGTCAGAGATCATCGTAGACTATGGCATTATCCGTACGAAAAATGATTACAGGTTACCTGCGCGATGTAACTGGAAGTTACAGCGTATGTTTTCTCTGCATGGGAACGTGCATGGTCATGGGAGGTCTACCATTACTACTGGTTTTTAACGAAGTATCGAAATCATCGAAGATGACCGTTAACGCTGATAACGGTGATACGCAAGCAGAGGCGACTGTGAAAGAATAAAGATATTTTGCAAGTGTGATTTAAAAAACCAAAACAAAAATACCAAAAAAACAAAACAAACGAAAACCGAACGAATGTGTAATAGAGAATTAATAAAAAAAATCGCAACATTTGTCGCTACAATTAATCCACTATGATGTATTGCTTGGTTCAGTTGTATTCGTACAAAAAAAAAAAACAAAAGATATAATATGATAAATACCTCGTTCGCGACAGGTAAGGGTTTTTCATAAACTTTTATAAATGCACGCCTCCTAGTTTTATTGGTAAATGAACCCTCCTCATTTACAAATTATTCTTAAGTAAAAAGTACTTAATTATAGAACGAATATTATTATATGTACATTATAATCTGCCTTATATATATTTATATTATACATATATATCCATATATATACATACATATACACATATATACATATATATACATATATATACATATATTATATATATATATATATATATATATATATATAAAACAGTATGTACATCATATTTACATGTTACATTATGATTATTTGTAGAAAACGAAGAACTGCGGCAGGTTCTGCGATGAAAGAAACAATCTTAGTAGAAAATACATATTTTTCATACAAAAAGAAAAAAAAAGACAGATGTAATTTAAACACAGTGATCTTTAATAAAAGTTATATTCTTTTCACGTGTATTGCCTTTGCTCTTTTGGTTTTAATATTTAGATGTTAATTTCTTATATGAAACAATGCTCAAAAGTCTTGACAGACTGTGGTCTCATAGTAAAAGGCGAAGATAAGAAGAATTTATTGTAAAACATGTGTGTATAAGATTTACCACCAAAAACAGTCTTCCGCATCTATGAATTCATCTATTTAGTCCATGCATAAAATTATCTAATATTATCTCAATGCTTTAGAATGCAATTAACAGATTGTATCATAAAAGTACTCCAATATCTGTATCAAATAATTATATTGGAGTTAATCAGTAAGAAAAAAGCTAGCGAATGTGATAACAAGAGACCCACTAATAAATAAAAGGGATCATGTCGGCTTCCAAGCTACCACTCTCATTTTGTTATTTAATTCTTGCAATATCAAAGAGCATGTAAGCTGTTTCTCTGCTGACAAACCATTGATTCCTTCCATTTCGTCATCATCATCTCCTAATCCATTATTACTCCCACTCTTTCCTTTACTTTTCACTTTACGTTTCTTCTTTTTATTTAATTGTCGGCAGTCAATGTCGCTAGCTGCATCTGTTGCTTTTCTTATCTAAAGTAAATAACTTTTTTATACATGTTCATTTTTTTATACAATACATAGAAGTTTTACGATACTATGGCTTACTTTAGCACTTTTCTTTGATTGTTTATCATATTCTAAAGCATCATAATAATTTGGTTTCTCTCGTTTAATTCGATTAGTCCGTCTAGTTTTCATTACTCCACTATCAGGACTTGGAGGACTCTTAATAGAATTGCGTCTTGCATTAAAAAATGAATGACCACATGGACATGCTTTGCAGGCAACGGGTACCTTTACAGACAAATTATAATATTAATGTAGAGTAAATATTTTAATATACTAATGATAGATATACGAATAAAATAAAATTTATAATTCATAAAAATAATTTACATTTTAATCTTTGTTGACTTTATTAACATTCATAAAAGACATTATTAAATTCATTAATCATTTAAGTATCAAATGGTTTCATTTTATTTTACCTATAAGTTGATTGATGAGAATTTAGTGTGACTAAAGTAAAGAAAATGTATTTTANATATATATACATATATATACATATATTATATATATATATATATATATATATATATATAAAACAGTATGTACATCATATTTACATGTTACATTATGATTATTTGTAGAAAACGAAGAACTGCGGCAGGTTCTGCGATGAAAGAAACAATCTTAGTAGAAAATACATATTTTTCATACAAAAAGAAAAAAAAAGACAGATGTAATTTAAACACAGTGATCTTTAATAAAAGTTATATTCTTTTCACGTGTATTGCCTTTGCTCTTTTGGTTTTAATATTTAGATGTTAATTTCTTATATGAAACAATGCTCAAAAGTCTTGACAGACTGTGGTCTCATAGTAAAAGGCGAAGATAAGAAGAATTTATTGTAAAACATGTGTGTATAAGATTTACCACCAAAAACAGTCTTCCGCATCTATGAATTCATCTATTTAGTCCATGCATAAAATTATCTAATATTATCTCAATGCTTTAGAATGCAATTAACAGATTGTATCATAAAAGTACTCCAATATCTGTATCAAATAATTATATTGGAGTTAATCAGTAAGAAAAAAGCTAGCGAATGTGATAACAAGAGACCCACTAATAAATAAAAGGGATCATGTCGGCTTCCAAGCTACCACTCTCATTTTGTTATTTAATTCTTGCAATATCAAAGAGCATGTAAGCTGTTTCTCTGCTGACAAACCATTGATTCCTTCCATTTCGTCATCATCATCTCCTAATCCATTATTACTCCCACTCTTTCCTTTACTTTTCACTTTACGTTTCTTCTTTTTATTTAATTGTCGGCAGTCAATGTCGCTAGCTGCATCTGTTGCTTTTCTTATCTAAAGTAAATAACTTTTTTATACATGTTCATTTTTTTATACAATACATAGAAGTTTTACGATACTATGGCTTACTTTAGCACTTTTCTTTGATTGTTTATCATATTCTAAAGCATCATAATAATTTGGTTTCTCTCGTTTAATTCGATTAGTCCGTCTAGTTTTCATTACTCCACTATCAGGACTTGGAGGACTCTTAATAGAATTGCGTCTTGCATTAAAAAATGAATGACCACATGGACATGCTTTGCAGGCAACGGGTACCTTTACAGACAAATTATAATATTAATGTAGAGTAAATATTTTAATATACTAATGATAGATATACGAATAAAATAAAATTTATAATTCATAAAAATAATTTACATTTTAATCTTTGTTGACTTTATTAACATTCATAAAAGACATTATTAAATTCATTAATCATTTAAGTATCAAATGGTTTCATTTTATTTTACCTATAAGTTGATTGATGAGAATTTAGTGTGACTAAAGTAAAGAAAATGTATTTTAAAGCTCAAATAATAAATTTACCTGCTGTTCACATTTTGGGCAGCCTTTGCTGATTGTTTTAGTCTTTGCCATATTACAAAAAAATATATTTACAGCGATTAGGTTATTTACAATTAAAAAATACGACTAGGAACATGTATCATTAAACCATATCACGAAGTGATGACATCACAGCACAAAAATAACTTATGTATCGATGAATATGCATTTTAAGAGCCCTCACTGTGACGTTAAATACTTTTTACTTCCTTTAACATCACGCTAATAAGTAATGACAGTCGTAGTCGTAGTAATGAACAAAAAGGAGTACAATAGAAAATAATTCGTGCTACAGTTGACAGATGGCGGTGAAAGGCAATTAGGAGAATGGACCAATCATGGAATTTTAGTTGCTTTTGTCGCGAGTGTTCTTTGTGTTTGCAAATGTGTCAATATTTAAGTTCCTCGATAGTATCTGATCAATTTATGATTTTTATTATATAATCTTAATTAGTTAATTGAATATTATAATCAACCAAATAACTTTATATTTTAAAGACATTTTATGCATACAGATCACTGATTCCATAAGTATACTATAATACAAAATATTTCTTACATATATTTTATTTCGTGTACAAATTAATGAATAAACAGTACTCACGTATTCATCACAAATCAAAAAAGGTACACTGATTTTCAGATAAATATACATTGTATGTTATGTGCATATCTTTTTAAATTACTTATATCAGTGATTGAGTATAATTGTTATCCAGTTGTATCATTTCGTGTTTTTCTTAAGATGCATGTTATTGTCCTTGAGACACTTGTTTAATCTTTCTGCTCTAATATGGAACTTGTTATAGCGAGACATTGAACCTTATTGTTAGGTTAAGATTTGTTGATACTGCCATAAAGGCTTACATTGCTCCTGCATTCCTAAGTTTTTTATTAATTAATATACCCATGCCAATTTAGATATGAAATTATTTAAAGCATAATTACTCAATTTTATCGCGGTGACAGGCAGACAAACAAAACATTCTAAAATGCTTTTCTTATCATTTATACCAATTTCCTCCACGATGTTTTAAGTATTTTTCAATACCATAATTCAATAATACGTGAAACATTCGAATTCAAGGGAACACTCAAGCCTTCCTATCTAAAAAAAATAATCTAGAATCTTCGATATATCTCACAGACAAATAATCCACTTGTAAGAAAACAATAATATAATTAAAGTATCGTTTAGTACAATTTAAGTAGCGTTTGTTTTGTTAGATTTAAAGGTACCTTGTAAATATTTAATATGTTCTGCTAGAGTAAATACATATGCAGATTTCGAGTGATACAAAATCATGTTCTCTAGCCTTTATTATCCCTACTTCCAGAACCTTTGAAATCGTCGGAATTCCTAATTGATAGTTTATTATCGTGACAACATCTCCTTCCTCCTTGCAATTTCCTTATCGGAACAGCATTATTCACTTGGTGTATCGAAGTAATCGTATTCGCGGCAAAACTTTCTTGAGCCGTGACACCAATATCGTCATTACAGAGTTATCGACACGTTTGTCTGGCCGCCACTTATCACATACGTAATCTCTTGAAACCTTATCATATCGCATTCTGATGTCTCTTTACCTCGGACACTTTGATTTTTTTTCGTCATTGGTGGTCAAACCTATATAGACGCACCCATTTTCGTTCTTCTTATCTCCTTTCCTAGAATACATAGTAACCTAGCCATTTTGTCCTTATCTTTTATCCTAGTTAGTAGAATTCGTATCTAACAGCCGATTTTAGAACACGATCTCCGAAATGAATTTTCTATCCTATTCGTTACTTAACTAGTTGTTGTTGCTGCCAGCATCCGACTTTGTATAGTTATTAACATTCTTGTTCGACGCTTCGGACCGCTTAGCAGCCTTTGAATGTAACGCCTGTTGAAGGTCACGTCTAGAAACGTTCGCTTTGTTTTCAGCGCGCGTTCTCGAACGATTCTCGGAATCGTTGCAATTGCTCCCGTGTTTCCGCGTTGCAACGTATTTTGAAATGCGTCTGCGTTCGCGCGGCCCTATACGGCGATTATTCTGCATCCTGCAGGATTGTCTATCGTTGCTGTCTGTTTTCCGATCGATCGGATTCGGCGACGCGATCCTCAGATAAGGACAATCACAGCGACAGCATACCAGCTTCAGATCCTGATTGACAATTACGTCCTCCCCTTCCAATTGCCTCGGACAACTAAAATTGTCGAACTGTTGCTTCGTCTTCTGTATGCAACCGCGAAGCTTCAGTCTTGTATGTTTGCACATTTTTCCGTACTCTACGATTTTCTGCCTTCTGGAACAACACTTCGGGATAGGTCCGGAGGCGTTTATGATATTTGTTGCAGGATCTGGTCTCCGTGGATTATTTCCGTGATAAACATCTTCGCAATTCTTGCAAAGCACGTGCTGCAACACGTTTACCTCATTCAGCAGACTCGTGCAGTTGGGAAAACGTTGAACATTCGAATCGATGAGATTCTGTAACTTACAACTACAACATGTGAAATTTCGCATCATTTTAGGCTGAACTACGCATACATCCTGATTTGTTTTTTCGATTAGATTGGTTTCAATCCTCTCTTTAACAGTTGGTTTCGTAACCGTGAGATTTAATGTCTTCGCCGACAACTTCTTTTCACCGTGCGCAAAAGATTTCCCTCTTACAACCACACGTTTATTTCTAACGCGCTCTTTCTGAATTTTGTTTGCTCCATCCGCTATAGTACCAACGTTCTTCACCCTTATCGAAGAAGTTGGTGACTTCGGACTTTGGCCAACCGTTACTTGATTAATTTTATTTTGCTTACCTCTTGCATCGCTCGAAATATGCTCCTCCGTTCGAAAAGTTTTCACATCGTACGATGGCAAATTCGATTCACCTTGTATCATGTAGGGATGATCTCTGGTACCACCTCCATGTTGTTTTGCAGAGCTACAATAGCTAGTAACAAAATCTTCCATTTCTGCTTCATCGTCCGCATCGTAATTATTGGCAATTTGCGGGGTAGACTTTTTCTTGCAAGCGTTTCCTTGAAGGCAAAACAAATCTTTCCACGGATCTGGAATACCCTGTACGAAGGCTAAACCTAGATCGTTCCAGAGACGGTCGGTGGCGAGACATCTGACGTAACAAGGTATCAAATTCTTTTGCAGAACACGTGCCTCTGTTGCACCGCAATGTCCTCTGGAAGCTAAATACTCGCGCCATGCGTCGGGAATGCCTCGTCTGTTGTAATTAATATCTTCTTTCATGCCACGGCATGACCTGTTAACGTATGGTTGCGTTCGTAACAGTTTTGGTGAGAAAAATGGACCCCGAACCACATCTCGCACTTCTAGACGATCATTCGGTCGAAGTTGTCGTGGAGATACCCATTCTTGTGTCCAACCAGTACAAACTGTGAACTCATTCGAATTCTGTTTTCGAATCCGTTTCTTGCTTCGGGCACAAACACGTCGAGTATTGCAAGTTGGTTGTCTTTTGTGGTCTTCTGACACTATAAATTATGAGCAGCGTATAATATATTAATATCTCGATGGAACGATTTCAACCATTTTCTATCAGCTACTCGTAGGTAAATGCTACTTCTTCGACTCTCTGTTTCCTAAATGTTCTCATTTTTTATTTAATTAACTACGCTTGTACTCTAATGACTGTGAATCATGTTTACACTTTTAGCATACTGTAGCGTGACTCGAATGATGCTAGCGACAAAAATAAGAATTCGGAACATACTGGATCGATTCAGAGCAAAAATTGGTGGTCTTTACATTATATGAATGTACGTTAACTATTTTGATATGGTAATTTTATTAAAAAATCGAAAGTGATATAGATCATTATAGAAAAGTAAATTAAGGTTTCTTACTGATGAACGTGTTATGCCATTTAAATGTTTTACGTGATGGTTACCAAACGCTCGTCGACATGATTGCAAAACAACAGCGTTTTACAAATTGTTCTTACATTGTAATTATCATTACGTAACTTCATTTTGATAACATTTCATCCCTTTCATTTCGACAAAGAACCGGACAGATTTGTATTGCATAATAGATTACGGTCTAGTAAACGGCTGCCAATTTAAAATGACATAAGTTGATTAGACTATTGTCTATAAACTTCAATAATCTATCTGAAACGACCGGGACGAAATTATTTGTTTGACGATGTTGAAAGTACGGTATTAATTGATATTCAAACACTAAATAAAATAATGTATACATTAAATATGAATTTAAATCAACGGTCATATTCTCGTATGCGAACAGGACTACCAATCGTATGTACTACCAACACAGATAGCTGATTACTTCAGAACGAATTGGATTGTTGTGTCAGTGGTGTACATATTGCCCGAAGTGGCGAGTGCAGTCTTTCCAGTTCGTCAATGTTAGCACCCACGTAAATACAATGTCTTTGCTGCGTACATTACCTACGCTTAACAAAACTTCAAAATTAATATCCCGAAGTGTGCCAGCTGTTCATTACCATCCGAATGTAAGTTCTTTACGGTTTAGTTTGCGGTATCGTCCATAACCTATCATAATGAATGTTGCATTATTCTTTGCAATCAATATGATACAATTGCGACTGTTATTGCAATATATATATATGTATATATACATATAGATATATAGGAAGTGTGACCTTCACGCGACCGATTGATATTGATCTAATTTAAATACAAACGTTCTAAAAATACTGTAGTATAATTCCAGATTATTTAGTGCGAATGTTAGGTTATATTGATGTTTTCATTTCTTTTCGCGTTGCTGATTATCTTCTTCAATTCTATTTTAAAGGATTCGTTGATCATTTTTGAAAATAATATCACTTCCTAATTTATATTTTATCTTTCATGCATAAAACATCCATGCAATTTTTTTTACAAGTCATGAAATATAACTTTATAGGTTTTGGATCATTATGAAAATCCAAGGAACGTGGGATCCCTAGATAAGAATGACTCGCAAGTTGGTACAGGTTTGGTTGGTGCACCAGCCTGTGGAGATGTAATGAAACTTCAAATTAAAGTTGATCAGGACGGAAAAATCATTGATGCTAAATTCAAAACTTTTGGTTGTGGTTCTGCTATTGCCTCAAGTTCACTAGCGACTGAATGGGTGAAAGGAAAAACAGTAAGTATTATTATATCTTCATAGATTTTTTGTTACCATAGATTAAATAATTATTTCGATTCATGTTACAGGTTGACGAAGCCCTTCAATTAAAAAATACTGACATTGCTAAAGAATTATGCCTACCACCTGTCAAGCTACACTGTTCGAGTAAGTACTACATATTTCTTTCTTTAAATATTAATAACCTGTTGGAAACATTTTTTTATCAATTGTTTATTATCTGGTAGGAAGGAACAATTTTTAAGTAATCTTTTTGAAATTATATTGAACAAACAATATATATTATTTAAAAGTTTAAAAATCACTTAAATGTACAGTTAAGATTAACTTATGTCTTTTACACATTATAGTGCTTGCAGAAGATGCTATTAAGGCTGCATTATCAGATTATCGTATAAAACAGCAAACAAAGTCAAAAGAAAATGAAAGCAATGATACTCCAAAAGAAACATGATTCGGATGTATTCAAAAGCATAAACTTATTAGTAATACTTAATATATTACTAGTGGCTACTGTAGTTCTATTGTAATAGTAGCTACTACATAAAACAACAAATAGTAGTATCTTCACAAATCATGAACTGTGATGAGAGTTAAAAGAATAATGTATCTCAATAGATATTTAAAGTTCTACATAGATATATTCAACTGTGCTATATTTTCTTTTATGGAATCAAATAAATATATTTAATTAAAAATTATTTCAATACATAGCATTTATTTATATATTAACACTACTCATTATACTGTCAGTTATCTGCATGTTTCTAGTGGTGTTATCAAACGTATAAATGCGAATTCACAAGCAAGTAACTTGCGACATCTTTTGCAAGAAAGACTTTCATTATATGTTTTTGAAATAGCGGCTATTAAGATGAACTTCCTTGCGACAGTTGCTCTCTGAGAGCGAAGTAACCTGTAGATAATATTTGCAAAAAATAATGTAAGTTGCTTGCTGGAGTATCTGCATCATTACGAAAACGATTATGAGTCTATTTAAACATATTGCGATTTTATCGAAACAAAACTCGTATGTTTATTTAATTGTAATGGGAATTTAACTTGTTGATAAAAAGATTTCTTTTCGTCCGTCTTGTTTCCATTACGCCATCAGCTATTATGTATCGTCACAACGGCAGCGCGTGTAGGAGAGGGCACCTCTTATCGATAACGATCTTCTTTATAAAAATTATCAGTGAAACTAAATATTACATAATATACTTGTATTACTATAACGAAGAAAACAAAAGCAAATCGACATTAATACGTAAATATCGCGATAGTAGTATTGAATGATTCATTACAGTCTCTCTCTCGCGCGCGCGCGCGACTCAAATAACGTTTCGGGAATAATAGTATTCTTTCTCTCTCATTGTGAGCTCTATGTATAATCAATGCACAATAAAATGTGCAACGGTAGAAAGGCATTGTAATTTCTGAGAATAAGACTTCGATTCACTCGCAACTTGAACATTTTTTCCTGTTTTCTATTTATGATGCAATCGTTGAAAGTAGGGTTAGATTTAACCTTTTGACTATTGCGATGTTTTCCGTAAGTGGACAGATTTGAATGGACAATTTCATAAAAATTATAAATTCAAATAATTCTGAAAAAATTGACAGTCATCTACCCCTTCGAATTATTATCGTAAAAATGAAAATCAATTGTAATACGTTTCATTTTAATTGTTTAAAATAAGTTTGTTCGATGACAAAACTCTGTTCGAAATTAAGATTTGGTAAAGACATTAATAAGGCTACCAATAGACTTTTGGTTCCCAAATTGCTAGTATAAATTGTTGTTTTCTTCATAACATAAATCTGCGAGTACAGAAAAATTTGCTGCATATACAAAAAGGTGATTTATATCTCTGTTGAACCGGTGTTCGATCAGCTAATTGTAAGTGTTACAATGGATGCGTACGCGCGCGCGCGTGCCTCAAGAATGAGCCGGATCGGTGACTCCTGGTATCCTTCTTATAACTGTCATCACAACACCAATTGATGCTTAATAAGAACGAGTATAAACTGAGTCATGTGTGCAGTTACTGCTGTCAATTGCGCGTTTCAAGTTAATTTACGAAGAGGAACAATTAGCTCGTTAATTCGTAATTTACATTGGCCGCAAGTTTTCATGCTAGCTGCGTAGCGTGTATGTACTTCGTTGTCGCTCAAAGCCGACGCTTATCAGTGACAGATAGAACCGCATTAGTCATAGCATCATTTCCCCGGGGCCGAATATTTTCGTAAACTGCGAATGGATCGCGGGAATTCTGGGTGCACACTGATCACCGATCAGGGGATATTTTCGTCTTATTCGTTTCGTGCAATAAATTCCGCAATTACATAATATAATTATATAAGGAGGATAATAGTTAGTATCATTTCAAGTATTGGGAATACTTCAGCCAAGCCTTATCGTAATGCTATAGATTCAGTACAGATATCCGTTACGCGCTGAACGAATATCATACATATCGATACGTACTGTTGCGCATACGTTCCATATAATAAAAATGATAACGGCTTCATCGTGAGCCACTTGAAAGGAAAGAAAAACTAGATCATCCGACTTGACTCTGGCGGGTTTTCTGAATGTTTTACAACGTTCGTTTTATCTCGAAACAATTAGAGTAACGTTATGATCTCGTTATAAAACCGCGAGATAATTACTTGGAAACGTTAATTGCCTGATTATTTTGAATAGTTTTCGGCTTGATAATGTCTAAACACGAGGGAAGGGAGGGGCACGTGTTGTACACGCGCCATCACAAAGATTCCGTTCTAATTCCCTGAACAGTCATCATCAAATGCACGCACAATGGTTTCTCCGACAAATGTTCATTGCCAGCAATCCGCGATACGGCTGAAACGATAGACACTCGCTTCGCTACGTAACTAAATATTAATTCCATGAAAATTGTTTACTCGGATTTCCGTTGATAGTCATCTGCTTCACGGAACGCATAAACCGTCTTACGAGGCAAGCGAATATACCGTTCATTCAACACTGCCCCTCGGTACGAAATAATGCTACTACCTATGCGCTTTGGTTTGCAAATGTTCGTACAATACAATGAATCCTACAGAAGTCGAACATTGTTTTTCATTATCGGCGAAATTATGGCCTCCTACGACGAAAATAACTTGTGACTCGGCCGAATAGTTTGTTGAAACCGTTCGAAAGGGATCATCCAGATAATGAAGCTTTCCAGGGAGTGACTAAACCTGCCAATGAGTCGCTCGGAATTTACCTTTTTTACGATAAGACAGCGCACGGATTTCTGTCAGCAAGGAAAGGCACGTTTTCCTCTGTTGTCATTGAATATCGAACTAGAGGAGGATCTTATCGTGGCGGATACTTGTTTTTCCCTACCTCGATTTCTCTATGCCCAAAGTGGGACGTTGCACATCGCGCCCGGCGAACGTTAAATTCGTACGAGAGGCGTTCCGGCGAGAGGACAAAATCCTACATTGGCCCCCGACTGCACATGCGACCGCTGTAAATTTTCCATTCCCTTGTTTCTCGTCGCCGTGTACTATAATCCCTCCACGCTGGCCGGTGTACAATGTCTTTCAATGAGTCGTGTTGTCACCAACACTAACGATCGATGATTTTTATCTACATTCGCATTCATCGGAGCTAAAGCTGTCATCTGTTTTACATTAACTTTTACAGGAAATAAAGTACAATGATTTTATTAATGCATATCTCTTCGGTCTTGAAGTAGTCTCGACTCGCGATTCCTCCCTCGCATCCCGCGTCATATTTTTCTGATCTTTCATGCGAACTTTGTTATTCATTTTTCTTGTTTTACATAACTCATGTGTCTTACTTAATATATATTTTTCTATATAATCTCTCGACCAATTTACCGTTTCCTATCCATATTTTCCTTCGTTGATTCTTAAGTGCTCTAATAGGTATAAACACAAACTCGATAGCAATTGCACGCAGATGACCATTACTGCAATTGGCACTGTGATTGTATTCTGTCAAACTTTTCCATGCAACATATATATTCAAGAGATCAAAGACGTGAATCTTTCGAAAACTCTTTAATGCTGTTGGTAGAACGATATTAATCTGATGAGAATTCATAACAACACATCTTCGTGGCATTGAGCGATATTAAAGATTCCAAACAAATACCATAAAAAGATAAGTCGAAAATGACCACTTGATAGTTCTTGATAAGAGTAATGCTCGATTAGTTGAAAAAATTTGTGAACTAGTGTTGATATACCATCTTAAGTAGTAATTTACTTCAAATCGTAAAGCAGAACATTCTATCCAATGAAAGAAGTTGTTCAAAAGATATTTTTAAGTCTGCGGAGAGATGAAACGTGCGAAATGTCAACTTTGTTACACCAAGTGGAAGATCACATTTTCTGAAGGAATAAGTACGCGTCGCAGTCACGACGAAATTGTAAAAGGTGGTACTACCTCTTGATATACATCCTTCGATCCTTACCCGGTTGAGGATTTGAATTTTTATGACGCTAGTTTTCCACATTCCGGGTATATGTGCTTACTACATATGTACTTTCGTCCCTACCGATACAGAACGTATAGCATTTAAAAAACGGAGTGGGAGAATCGTCGAACGCCGGAGGGAAGAGTGAAACGGGTGTAATGGTGGGGGACAGGATGAAGTAGTGGCAAACGGCCCTGCGTGATACACAGCTGATCGGCCGTTCCGCGGTGAAGGAGCTCTGTTTTTGTTGCGCGTGTGCGTCCGTGGCCTAGTGGTGTGATATCGGTTGTCTCAACACACGGGATGATAATAGTGTCCGCACCGTGAACCCCAAGGAAAGAGAGCAATCCTTCGTCTACATGCGATTGTTTACGTGCTCTATGCAATTTGACAGAGTACCGCGATCAAGTGCCACGGGCGGAAGAGTTGACCCAGTCGTGGAAGAACAGCTCGCATCATCGACGCATTGCGGACCGTCGGTCGTGGCGTCGGGTCAGTTGCATCGCAAATATTTCCCTCAGTTTCGAAGGAAATCGTTAACGCGTGGAAGGTCTATGACCGGACCACAACGAGGCTCGCTTTATCTTCTGAGGAGCGACGCGAGCCACCGTCTGATCAGCATCAGACTGAAATTGATGAAGTCCGAGGCAATCGGGGAGGAGGACACGACTGCTGATCCTGCAGTTTGTGAACATTGATGATATACTGCTGTACCACTTCGTAGATCGTCATTGTTACATGTATTCTGTGCTGTAATCCAGTGCGCATTTCCCCGGGTCTCCGCTTTTTCATTTCTCTCACTCTCTCTTTCTCCCCCCCCCCATCCACCCCTTTGTTTTTACTTTTTCTCGGTTCCGTTGAGTTCGATTCGGGGTTCTCGTTGTGTTTTTCGTGTTAATTTAGTGCTTGACGATCGCGTGTTAGATTTTTCTTCCGAGCAGCAGTAGCAGCAGTAGCAGGCAGCGATTGGTTTTGCTTTTTCTTTGTACGAATACACACGCACGCGTATACATGCGTTTAAGCGCGCGCGCGTCACTCTGAACGGGAAAGAAAAGGTCGATGACAATGCAACGAGTCCAAGATCAAGACAATGGGATCAACATCAAATTCGGGGCGAGTAAAGGGAAAAAGGCAGAGTACACACTCGTATCGCAACACCCTGAGAAAGAGAAGAAGAGCAATGTCAATGGGACCAACAAACAAAGTAAGTTCATGATATTTTCATAGAAACAAAACATAGGTGGATACCTATTCCATGTTTTAATATACATATATCAATTTTACAGGAAGGTTCCATTCTTTGAATATCTTTAAATGTAAAAAATATTTTAATGCAGATCTTTCACGTTGTACTATGACCTAAGTTAAAAATAGTATACAGCATGACTCGCTATTCTATTGTGGATAAATTAAATATTACTTTGCATTTTAGTTAAACATACAACTGTGGAAGACCTAGTCCCACCAGATGGAGGATGGGGTTGGCTCGTACTTTTAGCATCTGTCATGGTCAATCTCCTGATCCCAGGAACAGTGAAATCATTTGGTGTCCTCTTTGTTGAATTTTTGGAAGTCTTCGATGCATCACCTGCTGCAGCTGCTTGGATACCAGCATTATGCTATTTTCTCTACAGCTCACTTGGTAATTAGTGTTCCTAAAACTGTCATGTAATTTTATAAATTGTAAGCTTAAAGATAAATGTGCATAATTCTTGATACAGGTCCACTCTCCAGTGTGTTATCTGTGAAATACTCTTATCGAACAGTGACACTTATTGGAGGAACATTTGCAGCTGCAGGAATGATGCTAAGCTACTTTGCTAATTCTGTGGCCTTTTTATGTATTAGGTAATTATGTATCAAATACAACAAATTCGAGCAAATTAAATAATATTTGGTACAAAAATTATTAAGATATAATTTTATCTGCAGTTATGGAGTCTTCGTGGGAACAGGAGCAGGACTGGCCTTTCCCCCAACTGTGTACATTGTAACTTCTTATTTTGTACGGTTACGTGGACTAGCAAATGGTCTCTGCATATCTGGTAGTGCACTAGGTTCGATATTCCTTCCACCAATCCTTGGAGTTCTCTTACGAGAGTATGGATACAGGTATGTCCTTCTGTTGCATTTATGATTTAGCAGGTATGATTTTATTTTCCTGATAAACATTGTATTCATGATCAGTTGGAAAAACGTTACTGGCAGAGAACTTCGTTTTTGTAAATTGTTTCTGTAACAACAGCTCATCTATTTGAATTAATGCAACATCATGTATTAATATTCATTTCTATGTGTTTGTGTTCATACATCCAAGTCTTTTGATTCTTTCAAAGAAAATAACAAAATCAGAAAAGTACATTTTCATGCATTAGTTTCGAACAGTTTTGACAAAATTTAATTGTTCATGTGATTTGTGATATTGATCGTTCGATTTTATGTAACTTTGTGACGCTGGAACCGCGTTACAAAAAATACAAGACATTTGTGTATTTTTTTACGTGCGTTTTCACGTTCCGGTGAGGATCTGTAAATATAGTGTTACTGTCGTAATATTTTGTGAAGATCGTTTTTTTCGGTGAGTACTAATATACATCATTACTACAATTTAATAAATGAATGTGAAGATGACTGATATGCATGCACTTGTTCTCCCTTCATGAGATACTCAGACAAAAGAAGCGCGTGCATCTGTGTACACAACGCTATTGTACATCCCTGCAAAATTTACAGCTTCAATTAGCTGTTTTACGGCGTCTCCATCAAACGCGTTGTTACTAAAGATAACGCACGTTAACCGTTCGACATTTTCCACGGTAATGTATACAAATTGTGTAAAGGAACGTAGAGGGAAGTTCTCTAGGTCCGCAACCAAATTACACGCTCTGCTATTATAACACGTTGACTGCCACGCGAAAACCATTTACAAATTCGAACGGAGAGAGGATGAGGCCGAGGCATATCGCCCGTGCTCTTTTAACCTTATTGAATAAGAACGATAAAGCTATTCTTATTCAATGTTTCCGTCTAAAAATGAAATTTTTAGCCATGGATACATCTGTCCATGTATAATCATGGCAGTCAAAGTGATAGCAGAGAAATTTTTAAACTAACCGGAAGTCTACGACTGAAACGTTGATGCCATAAATAATAAGCCGCTACGTGTTTAGGTAAGGAACATTATATCATAGCGTTTTCATAGATTGATGTGTTACTCCGTAAATTATTGAAAAAATGTCTCGTTAATTTTATGGAAAAAAGGAATTATGTTTTGTGAGTCGTGTGTTCTAATATCGGTTTAAATTAGACAAGACCACGATGCGTCCGCAAGGGACTCAAACGTGTTTGGGACGCCAATCATGCTTCCCATCATGGCGCGTGATGCCCTTCCTGCATCGTGATAAGGTGACTTTACTTGACCGGGCGGTTGATTAGAAACGTCCTATGTGATATCATAGCCCACATTTTGTCAGGTGTTCTACGTAATACCGTTACAACTTTTATTTCATTGTGTTTTAGGTGTCCAGATAAACGTTGAGACATGAAATATTGCTATCTAGAGTGAAAGTGTACGTTGTCATTTGAAATACAATCGTATACGTTGAAGCTCACATGTTCTTATCTTTTTACAACTAATCGTATTGATTAAAATATAGGGAAAATCGTTTGAACGAGTTAGGGAGAGGGGAGGGCAGTAATGCCGTACACGCGCGTCATTCACTGTGTGCATAGAGCGAGGAACAGAAATGTTTGTATAGCTAGACTTTGAAAGTAAACATAACTACATATGTATACTTCCTGCATGACACGTATGGTATCACTCTGAACACAAGTATCAAGAATTTAGGAATACCAATACCAATTTCAATTTTAACTCTGGTTCAGTTTTCATTAAAAAATGATTAAATTGCTTTAGAGACTTCTTACAGTATTGACTAGATGTCGTATCCTTATGCATTTATGGTATATGAGAATGCTTTAAAAATAAAGAGGCTTGCAATTATTTCTATTTTATTCTTAACGCTCTTAAATTTTGAAAGACATTTTGATTGACAGTTTAATAATGACTTTTATATGTTTTCAAATATGATTGTCGCAGTCTAATATCTGACCCTGACCAATTCATAGCAAAGCGTTCAGTAGAATGTAACAATCACGTTCGTAAAATCTACGGAAACGTGTGCCTTGATGTTGTCGAAAGTACTTGTACATTCGTGTGTGTGCTCGCGCGTTTAGCTGTGAACGCGTGATGCTCACGTGTTTAGAGTTAACGTGTCACTACGCGGGAAGGAAAAAGCGGAGAAAAAGGAATCGCGATAACTTCGAACGATCGTTCCAGTTTACCACAAAACTAAGATGACTGAAATTAATCTCTTTGTTTGTAAAAGTTATTTATATTTGCGATAGAACCATAGTTCGTTTCTTTTTCTCTTTCTGTATTCGGCGACGAAAAACGGTAACAATGGTCCTGTTTAAATAACGAGGAATAACGATTAGATCGACGTAAATTTAATGGATTTTGCATTTCGTTTCGTCACCATTTTTTGCTCTCATTTCAAGTTTCCTTTTCAGCAATATGATCGTACGCTGTTTGCCGGACCGTTCTTCGGCGAGAGAATTTATTATAGCGTGTATCGAATTATTTTGAACTGAAACTATGGATTTATAATCGTAAATTATGTATTTTTGTATATTTATATACATAATATACACGCACGTGTAGTCTCTCTCTCTCTCTCTCTTTTTCTCTCTTTCTCTCTAACTTAAATGCCACACGATCTAGATACGTAAGAACGAAGAGTCTGCTCCGTCTAAGCGTCCGTTTTGTTTTTCTTTTGTTGCAGAAGAATGTGTTCCACGGAAGAAGACAGGGACAAAATACGATTTCGAAGAAGATGAACTTCTCATACTACAAAGAATATTGTACGCGATCTGAAACACGCTAAAAATATCACACTTCCATCCCAATCTATTTTGAAACGCGAAGGGATGCGCGTTCTCGGCTTTGATATTGTTTTTTTATCCTTTTCAATGTTTTTAACGCAACGCCCACGGGTGTGTTACGTTTCAAGAAATTTCAAACACTTCTGCTTTACGCCGATATTTTGTTGATTTTATTTGTTGGAATGCTCTTTAATGCTCGTTCAATCTGTGTGAACGGTTTCAGATTGCCACATCAAGTCGGGTATGTCATAGTCTGGGCCCTACGTGGAAGATGAATATGGCACAGACTATGAAACACCTGTTTTATAAAAGTATTATATTCAAGGAACTCTCATATATTTTGGTATATGAGTCTTCGTTAGTGATATTTGTCTGTGATATAGTTTGCCAAATATGTAAAACAGTGATATCTAGAAATTTGTAAATGAGAAAATCTCATATGTTCTATAAATTATCAGAGACTGTATTATTGGCACTCTTAACTAAGGAGTATCTTATTAATATTTTTATTAATATTGTAACTTATTAATATTTTATAACTTTCATGATTTATAAGCAATAACAAGTGATACTTGAAAATATGTTCTAATTATGTAATTAAAACATACAATGGGAACATGAATAATAAAGCGTTCTTGGAAACGCTTGTAATTATTATCTTTTGAATTCTTTACTTTTACATAGTCATATGTTCAGATCCTTGCAAAGTGACCATTAAGTATTTCGAAATTCTTCCCATTCCATTTCATTTTTGTATTGTGAATCATCCATTAATTGTGAATTCGAATGCAACATTCACATTTTTAAGAACTGTCATAGTTAATAATTGTCAGAAATTCATTCATGATCTTCTTGTAATCGAGTTTTAAGTTACACCATTCGCTAATGTTCATTTGATATTCTTTTTATTTTCGACAGCCGTGGAATGTCCTGTTGGCGACATTGTAAGCTATAGCAAATCCTAATAATAGACCGAACGTGAACGCTAAAGTTTATTTTGCTTTTTTGCAGAGGTGCAGTATTAATAATGGGTGCTGTCACTTTGAATGTATGGGCGAGTGCTCTTTTGTACGAACCAGTGGAAAAGCACATGGTGCCATCTTCGTCATTGAACAAGTCGAGCGACCATGACTTGGAGGCCGCTACTCTGACCGTAACTAGTCCTGAAGACGAAAAGAAATCGAATCTTATGATTTCTTTGCCGAATTCAAACGAGAAGGCTGCGCCGATAGTACCAAAGAGCGCGTCCAGCGTCGCATTAGAATATTACAAAAACACGCCTGTCCAAGGGAGAACGAGAAAGATCAGTATGCCCACAGGACGGGAAATAACGGGCCAAATGCACAGCACGCCCGCGTTGCACGCGGTCCCGGAACGTGCCGGCGAACACAACAAGTTATCAAGACGCAAATCGCCGTTCCAGTCGCCAAGCACGTCATCATTCAATTATGTTAGCACACCGTACCACGGAAGCACTCTTTCCGCCTTACACCCAGAAAGGGCATCCACGCTGACACTCAACGCGATCTCGAGCACGTTCACAAGAAAGAACGTGGATGAGATGAAGAAGGACGAGGAGAAGCAGCAAAATAAGTTCTTTGATTTCAGTCTGCTGAAAGACCCCATCTATCTCGTCATCCTGATCTCCAACTCTACGAACGCGGTTAGTTACACGAACTTCATTATATTACTGCCAGCTTACGCGATCTCGTTGGGCTTCGACAAGAACATGTCTTCCCTTCTCCTTTCGATCGTCTCAATCTTAGATTTGATAGGACGTATCGGCGGCTCAGCTCTCTCCGATGTTTCAATAATGCCGAAGCATTGGTACTTTGTTGGAGGACTGCTCATCTCTGGAATCTCGTTAGCCATTCTGCCAATTGCGACTGAGTACACTATGCTATCCGTTTACTGCGGTATATTCGGTTTGGCGTCCGGTATTTATGTCGGTATCACCGCGGTCATAATGGCTGATATGCTAGGAACAGAAAAACTTACCTCCTCATACGGTATCTCTTTGTTCGTGAACGGAATTATACAGCTAGTCGGTCCACCCATTTGCGGTCTCATATTCGAACAAATAGGGAGCTATGGTCCTATTTTTAGCATACTGGGAATCATTTTAGTGGTAGGCGCTGCCTTGTGGGGTTTCGTACCGTTCATCAGGAAAAGACAAGAAGCTATGGAGAAAGTTGCACCGATTGAGAAGTTATAGTCCATTTGAGTGTCGGTATTGACTATCTTGTGCAAGCGAAGAGCTTAATTGTATAATTATCGTAGATTAGGCGTGTCTCAATTCATAGTAATGACTATATAATTATGAAACACTGTGATGTTAGAATGAATGTTCTGTATATACCACTGGCACTGTGATGACGTTACACGATCCACGCGCACATTTTCAGGTGGATTAGTAGGGAAACAATTTTCAAAGGATATATTTTTAAGAAACGCGACGGTTTCTCTTTTTCTTCAAAATTGAAAGTGTCTTGCCTTAACAAACATGAAAAAATTACTCTTTGGATGTCTGTTCTTGTTGATTACTAAAAATGAAAAAGAAGATAAAGACGTAGAAAGTAATTTAAGTACTTAGTTCAGAAGCGCACTAGTTGCAGGTGCTATTGTAATTTAAACAAAGAAAACAAGCGCAATAATATAATTTAGTGCACGTAATATTTTCTTAGTATATAAACATAAGGATAAAAAAAATGTCGACTATTTGTTTTTACACTTCTCTTGGAAAAAAGAAGGAGAGATAAATATGTATATAATTCCTACTGTTATAAACACTCTGTCATTGAAGATAGTCAATTTTGTTATTCATTCGTTTACAAATCACCGAAAAAATATGCCTTAAAATTAGGATGTAAGTACTTTGTAATTAATGAATTACATTTATAATACTATACAATATGTAAAATAAATAATGATATGCAACATGGATATCTTATTGGTGATGTTCCATGAGAATGAGAAAATTATTTATTTCATTAGGATTAATAAAGAGTAAATTGTGATTTGTATTTATTTTATTGAAGGGGCTCCATAATATCGTTTTTAATTGCTAAGTAGATAGTAAAGCAACCCCTTCACAACGTTTTTATGATTTCTATGAGTAAAATTTACAATTAGTGAGTTTATTTTTTTATACTATTAGCGGGATAAATTATTTCTTTTCCAGTTCCTGTTTAGGTAGTTCTGCATTAGTTTCTTCTTCAGCGTGCCGGAAATTGGGGAATTGTTCCCAAGGAGCAGACAATTCAAATTTACGGAATTCCTGGGTCAATTCCAGTGGTTCACATACTACTCTTTTCTTTTCATCATCATAGCGTACCTAAAGGAAAAAACATATTTTTTATAATACATATTGCCCAGAAGAAAAAGATATATCATTTAAATACCTCTACATAACCAGAGAGTGGGAAATCTTTTCTTAATGGATGTCCTTCAAATCCATAGTCTGTAAGAATTCTACGAAGATCTGTATTATTTGAAAAAATAACACCATACATGTCCCATACTTCCCGCTCATACCAATTAGCAGAATCATGTACACATTCGATTGAATCTATAGGTGTTAATTCATCTGTGTATGTTTTTACCCTAATGCGTGAATTATGTCTTAATGACAGAATGTTATAGACAATCTAAAAACAGTAGAATAAATAATAGTATGTATTCTAAAGTATGACAATGTTCCTGACTAAAGAAATCTTTACCTCGAATCTATATTTGCGACTAGGTACATCAATTGCAGTAATATCAGACAAATTAGAAAATTGGGCATTGTGATGATATCTCAAAAACGATATTACTGGAACAATACCGTCGGGAGCAATTAATATCTCAAGCTCATCACGGCTCATAATTTGTAACTTCTGTACATATTTCGGTAAGCATTCAGCAACGTATTGACCAAATTCCCTCAAACTTTCTACATCCACATTGCTAGGTTTACGTATTGACGCTGTAAAGGATTCTTATCGTTATTATTGTTCATAGTACTACTACACAATACATAAATAAGTAATCAATAATTATTTTACGTACGCTGCGTTTCTGGCTTTTCGGCTGTTGTATTGGTTCTCAACGATGGAAGAAATTTTGGATAACCTATTAATTGTATTAATAATGAATTACATAATACACAGAAAAAAAAGGAATTCAACAAATATCAAATAAATTCTTTACATTTGGGTGTTGCGACAGGTAAATTTCGAGAGAGTTTCAGACAATTCCGTAACAGAGACGTCATTTTCAAAGAAAAATCTTCTCCTTCTCACCCAATACACTCTACAAAACTGTGTGCGACGTTTATCAGACTCTCTAGATAATACAGATTTCTAACTGCAACAGAGGACTGCATCTGACTCAATCTAACTGCAACAGAGAACTGTTGCAACAGAGAACAATCTGATTGCAACTGAATCTGAAATAAATATACATAATTATGGCAATCTAATATAGATGTATAGAATCGATATAATGTAGAATTCCAATAATCCAATAAGTAATGGTATTAATACATAGGTTTTTTAAAAAATAATTTATTCATTTCAGAAGTAACATAATTAATAAAATGTGATTGTTTAAATGAAAATTTATTAACTATTCGAAATAAAACACTGTACAGACATTTTTCAGTTTTGTTTTATCATATATTTAAAATACCTTTACAATATAAAACTTAATTCTATAGTTTCCTTGCATAATTGGTTTCATAAAATGTTAATGTACATAATTAAAATTTTTTGTACAATTATCAACTGCTTACAATGTTTTTTGAAGCACATTTCTGTTCTAGTTTTTGCATATCCACAAGTATGGTTGCTACAGCATGTCTAAGTTGATGGAATTTTGACATAGATAATTCAAATATTTGGTGCTCCCCATTGCTGAATGTCCACTTCATTATAATATGTGGTTCCAGGACTCTATTTATAATGCTGAAAGTAATAGAGAAATAAACATCTAAACAAAGATAATATTTGTAATAAATGTTAGGATATTACTTGGAAGAAATGGTGATGTCTACACGCCACTTGCAAGATACAAGATGTGAGTAAAACTTTGTTTTGTTGATTAAACCAGTTACTAATTCTAATCGCTTTTGGCCATAGATCACAGTAGACAAATCCTCAATGCAGTCAGGAGATAATCTGAGGAATGATGTTGTTAATTATAATTAATTAATGTATTTATTAAATTAATTTATTAAATATATACTTTAATTCCTCCAATATTTGCTTGAATTCTCCAGGTTTCACATTCTGAGATAATATGCCCAAGTGAACCTTTAATATCGTATAGATGACTGAATAATACTCATCCACAGATTCTTCTGGTACATTGTATTTTTGACTTATTTTATCCAATATTCCTTCCTCTATATATTCTTGATTTATTGATTTCACAGCAACTAGAAATGAAAGGTTAGAGTATTTGTAATATATGTTACAACTGTAATACACATTTAAAAAAGTCTTACTCTGTATTAAAGGGCGAATAAACATCTTCTTCAATTCTGGAAGAACTTTTGTATTGTTTCCTAATGCATACAAAAGTTGTGTTTGAAAAGTTGTCATGTTTGTTATAATTTTGTTTTCCGTTGTTCTATAAAGCAAACGATATGGAAAATCGTCTAAAATAATTGGAGTGCTAGGAAGTATCCTGTATAAATATTATTTTTTATAATATTACTGATATCAGTTAGGATATGTCAATCTGTCATTCTCCAAATAGATGACTTGTTTCTGTTTCCACATCGTTTAATGCCATCTAGCAGAGCTCAAGCAAGATAAAATTAGGAAAGAGCAGGCATCACATTTCAAAATCATTGACATTTATAAAGTATTAGTAACATATAATTTAAATCGTATTTTAATAAATAATGCGATTATTTTTCAATGTTTCCAACCATTTTTTTCACACCAGCGATTTAGTCTTTTTGGTACATCGTTAATATATTCCTTTGAAAATCATTACAAGGACATTCTGGATAAGAGAAGCATAGTACACCGATTATTTCATTGGATACTTTAATACCAGTGAAATATTAGATATAATATTTAATATAGGCAAATAAAGATCTATAACAAATAGCCTGATATATCAAATTTGGAATACAACATACAACTGACCGTGTGGCCTAATGGATAAGGCGTNTTGGAAGAAATGGTGATGTCTACACGCCACTTGCAAGATACAAGATGTGAGTAAAACTTTGTTTTGTTGATTAAACCAGTTACTAATTCTAATCGCTTTTGGCCATAGATCACAGTAGACAAATCCTCAATGCAGTCAGGAGATAATCTGAGGAATGATGTTGTTAATTATAATTAATTAATGTATTTATTAAATTAATTTATTAAATATATACTTTAATTCCTCCAATATTTGCTTGAATTCTCCAGGTTTCACATTCTGAGATAATATGCCCAAGTGAACCTTTAATATCGTATAGATGACTGAATAATACTCATCCACAGATTCTTCTGGTACATTGTATTTTTGACTTATTTTATCCAATATTCCTTCCTCTATATATTCTTGATTTATTGATTTCACAGCAACTAGAAATGAAAGGTTAGAGTATTTGTAATATATGTTACAACTGTAATACACATTTAAAAAAGTCTTACTCTGTATTAAAGGGCGAATAAACATCTTCTTCAATTCTGGAAGAACTTTTGTATTGTTTCCTAATGCATACAAAAGTTGTGTTTGAAAAGTTGTCATGTTTGTTATAATTTTGTTTTCCGTTGTTCTATAAAGCAAACGATATGGAAAATCGTCTAAAATAATTGGAGTGCTAGGAAGTATCCTGTATAAATATTATTTTTTATAATATTACTGATATCAGTTAGGATATGTCAATCTGTCATTCTCCAAATAGATGACTTGTTTCTGTTTCCACATCGTTTAATGCCATCTAGCAGAGCTCAAGCAAGATAAAATTAGGAAAGAGCAGGCATCACATTTCAAAATCATTGACATTTATAAAGTATTAGTAACATATAATTTAAATCGTATTTTAATAAATAATGCGATTATTTTTCAATGTTTCCAACCATTTTTTTCACACCAGCGATTTAGTCTTTTTGGTACATCGTTAATATATTCCTTTGAAAATCATTACAAGGACATTCTGGATAAGAGAAGCATAGTACACCGATTATTTCATTGGATACTTTAATACCAGTGAAATATTAGATATAATATTTAATATAGGCAAATAAAGATCTATAACAAATAGCCTGATATATCAAATTTGGAATACAACATACAACTGACCGTGTGGCCTAATGGATAAGGCGTCGGACTTCGGATCCGAAGATTGCAGGTTCGAGTCCTGTCACGGTCGAACGCTTCTTTTTCTTTTTTGATATTTTTTTATATGTACAATATAAGTTACATCAAATTAAAGTATTAAATACTAATCATTTTGTTTTATATATATTTTTTTTTGACATGAATGTGCAGTACATTTAAAATTTAATACGTATACATTAAATTTTAGATAATACTTCATAGCTGGTTAACCTTTACGTTATTTCATAAAGGATAGGATCTTATACTTATAGGAATAAAAACATTTTAAGCGTACATTGTAAGTTTTATTTATTTCAGAAAGAAAAAAAAATTCCTTCGAGCCGGATTTGAACCAGCGACCTATGGATATCTACCGTTTTAACATGCCAACTACAGTCCACCGCTCTACCAACTGAGCTATCGAAGGTTGTTGTTTCACGTGTGCCGCTAGTGATGTGATCAGGTTACTTATCTTAAAATGTATGAATTTTTCCACTTTGTAATTTTTTGCTTGTTTAAACTACAGAAAAAGTCATCCCAAAGTCATATTTATTATTTACTCTTTACTTTATTCGCATTAAAATATACCTACTATATTCTTAATTTAATTGTGACAACCGATTAATAAATTGGAACTTCGTGATACGTAGTGATTAAAGAGACTGTCGTTTAAAATTTAATATTCGAATTTAGAAAACGAAAATAAAAAGGAGTAATAAAGAGAACCATTCCAAATTCAATTCGCAGTGTCGATTCGTTTCGAAACTGATTCACGTAACGTTGTCTTTTTTATTACAACACTGGTATTGATTCCGTGCTCTTTAATGACGAAATCATTTTAGGAGCGCCGGTTCCCTAATCAGAACATAGTGAATTCATCTCGAATAGACCACACCTAAATGTCAGTCGTATTTTAGACGATCCTTTCTATCAATTTCGTTTTGCTACTCATTCGTGTCCTGAGATACATAATTTATGATTTCTTCAATCTACAGCCTTCCAATCACTATAATTTTCTACTATTATTTAATTTTCCTTTCCAAATAATATTTCCAGTAATAACAATAAAATTGTTTAGAGAAAATTAATTAAGAAAGTGTTGAACACCTGGTAGAATATATTATATATACATAGCATGTACATATACATTCTGGAAAGGGTAGTGCCCACTGAGGGACATCGAACAGTGAAATTGTAGTTGATTCTCGATTGAAGGAGCCTACAAGGAGAGTGCATCAATAATATAGCGAGCATCGCACTCCTTGAAAGTAAATATTCGATATTATCCCGGCAGAGCAGCCGGAAATTTGTACAAAGCACAGTTCACTGGCATACTCAAAGATACTTGAAAACTTCAATAAATATCCTTTCAACACGAAATACTCGTGTCTCCACTCTACACTATAATTATAGATCAACAGTTATCTATTCACAACGATATATCATTATTCGGTCGACTGATATTGTAACTATACCAGATTGATCTTGTCGTGGACTAATAGCATGATATCAATCTGTAACAGACTGTATCGTAGTTTTTTATTTATCAAATACAAACTATCATTTCCTTGCAAAACATTTTGTTAAAAAGAAAAATAACATGGTCATTAGACAGATTATTGTGATGTTCAAAAATCGTTTCTTAATAAACAGTTGCAAATTATCTTAGCTAAACAAGATCGTGGTATACTACATATACGTATATTCAAAGCCTTTTTGACTCGCGTCTTCTTTTGTTTTGATCGTCAGCGCCATCTTTATAAAAATATAAAAAAAATTGAACCTCCATAAACGAAGATGCGTTTGCTTGGAACATTTACGGCAAGCGAGGCACTGAATATGCTAACGAACAGAAACAACGCAGGATGTCGTATGCTCGTGTCGCATTTTATTCATGAAATCTGGTTGCGTCCGGAATATCAGTACCACTCGAAAGATGCATAATTTACCCCTGCACGGTCACATGTCCTCCGACGATAGGATGGGAGCGCGTGTCGCCATCCGCCGGTTGATGTCAGCAGGCGGTATAACGTATTCCCAACATGCGAGGGTGGAACGGTTGGGTAATTACCTCCAGATCATGCCGCTCCAACGAATGGTATTAAGATGAACAAGGAGGGTGAGTACGGAAAGAATTGGCAGGACAAAGAGTGTAGGAAGAACGCAGACGCGGTCTGTCTACGAAGGCAACGTGTGACGCGCCTGCGCGGGATACGAACGGACAGGACAGCGAGGGAAAGAGAGCAAAATGGAAACGTGGTAAGGATATATGCACGAAAAATAGATTTGCGTGAAACGAGAGAATGAGAATTTCAAGGCGTATAAACAGTGTAGTTTGATAATGATCGGTGTCAAAAAATTGCAAACGGTACACCGGAAACTTCCGACACGGAGAGGTCATAGGTAACAGGCGCGTTGAGGTAAGAACCAATGGGTATACTCAATCAAGAAATTATAGCGGCTTGGATTAGACAATAAAGCCATGGTTCAGGGGGTAGAAGAAGATAAAAGGGTGATAGGAAGGGAGAAAGAACGGACAAGAAAGGGCGGAGCAAGAGAGAGAGACAGCCACTGTAAAACGATACAAGGGTAGTAGTGGGGATGAAGCGTAATACAGAAAGTAGATGAGAGAGAGGTGGCGCTCTCGCGCAGTCTGGCGTCGTCGGCTGACTGGTGTGCGTCTGGTCCGATTATAGACGCGATTTATTTTCGTCTTATTGTATTCGCGACCGTTTCGATCGCGGTGTATCGTCGCTAAAGTTTTTGTGTCTTTATCATTCGCGTGAACAGTTCTTTGAGTGTGATAGAAGAGTTCGCACCAGTGAGAACGAATGTCAGCTAGAGAACTCGTTCACACCGGTCGATGAGCTACCGTCGCTTGTGTTCTTCTAAGAATCCTTCTGTACGACGATTGCCGGCCGATGCGAGGGACAATAAGGTAATGTTGCATTATGAGGTTACAGTTCTGACTTGGACTGCTGGCTTGGCCGGTGTGGATCGATTTTCGTGTGAAGTGAAGCGGGAGCTCTCTCTCTCTCTCTCTCTCTCTCTCTCTCTCTCTCTCTCTCTCTGTGTGTGTGTGTGTGTGTGTGTGTGTGTGAGAGAGAGAGAGAGAGAGAGAGAGAGAGAGTGAGAAAGGGAGCGTGGGGTGAGAGAGGCGGACAGAGTGAGAGAGATGGCAGTTAATAAGACTGGAAATGTGATATAACGTATATTTTTCCCTGTTTTTTTTTCACTGTCTTATTACTGTCTTATTACTTCTGCTCCACCCCCTTCCCATCCCACTTCTCATTTCACGCGTTCATTCCTCTCTGACTCGTCTTTCAACTATTTATGTTCTGTGACGTTTAAAACGATCCTGGTCGATTCTCTAACACGTTACACTCGCAGTTCCTCATCTCGCACACCGCCAATTCCACTCGGTTTCGATAACCGTTTTCGTTCGCGTGCACGCGTGCGCCCATCTTTCCCAGATTCGCATATCAGAGGGCACACAAACCCTTTACCTGGAAGTACCGGAGTGGATACAATTCAGACGCTAGACGTCCCAACTATTTGCGTGCAGTGCAGTTCGAATTAGATAATTGTTCTCAATCAAAAGCGGATGAAATATTTTCTATTCAAATAATTCGAAATATTTCTTGGTAATAACAATAAGTTCAAAGAATATGCGAACGTAGTATTGCATTGTCGAGAGCGCCGTTCGAATACAATATACGATGACAGACGTTTATTTTTATAGTTCCACGTAAAATAGATCATTCAGTATTTCAAATAGCATTTTACTCGACGCTGGTCAGGCTCTCGAGACACAATTCCGTTGATGCCGGATCAACGGTGTTGCCGTAGATTGATCCCAGAAATGTGTAGACAAGAGGAAAGCAAACCGGAAGTGCATCTTCGTCGTGTTCACGGCTGGTCACGACCCAGAGGAGTTGGTCGTTTACTTTTACGGTGCAATGCGCCTCTGGATATAGTGGCATGTTAAACAAAAAGTTTGCTTCGCATGGAAAAGAGAGGACCTACGATAGATTGGTTTCAGCAGGCTGCGCTGCTTGAATGAGAATCGAAGACGGAAGCGAGTCGATCGTCTATGGAGAACCATTGATAGCTCTCCGACAGGCCGGCCCGGTGATCGGAGGTGATGAACTGCAACTGCGAAATTGTCGATCGCCCACGAAGATGCTAACGACAAGGACGATTAAGCGGATTATTAGCCGAAGCACGGGCGGGCGACGTTTAGCGACCTCTGCGTACCAGTGCACGAGCGATAATCGCTTTAAACGCATCCTAAATGAATTATAACTCGTTGACCGGGCCGAAAACTATACGTGTGTGCATCAGGCTGTGATTAGCCGAGACTGGGATCGTGCTAGGGTGTGTGTAAATATGGGAGCCATAATCGTGCGGAATTTTTCGTGTGTTCCGCGTCTCTGACCCTCTTCCGCCCTACGATTCTCACCGGTCGATAGACCCCGACTCGACGTGGTACTCTCTCTCTCTCTCTCTCTCTCTCTCTCTCTCTCTCTCTCTCGCTCGCTCGCTCGCTCTCCCTCCCTCCCTCTCCCTCTCTCTTTCTCTCTCTNCCGTAGATTGATCCCAGAAATGTGTAGACAAGAGGAAAGCAAACCGGAAGTGCATCTTCGTCGTGTTCACGGCTGGTCACGACCCAGAGGAGTTGGTCGTTTACTTTTACGGTGCAATGCGCCTCTGGATATAGTGGCATGTTAAACAAAAAGTTTGCTTCGCATGGAAAAGAGAGGACCTACGATAGATTGGTTTCAGCAGGCTGCGCTGCTTGAATGAGAATCGAAGACGGAAGCGAGTCGATCGTCTATGGAGAACCATTGATAGCTCTCCGACAGGCCGGCCCGGTGATCGGAGGTGATGAACTGCAACTGCGAAATTGTCGATCGCCCACGAAGATGCTAACGACAAGGACGATTAAGCGGATTATTAGCCGAAGCACGGGCGGGCGACGTTTAGCGACCTCTGCGTACCAGTGCACGAGCGATAATCGCTTTAAACGCATCCTAAATGAATTATAACTCGTTGACCGGGCCGAAAACTATACGTGTGTGCATCAGGCTGTGATTAGCCGAGACTGGGATCGTGCTAGGGTGTGTGTAAATATGGGAGCCATAATCGTGCGGAATTTTTCGTGTGTTCCGCGTCTCTGACCCTCTTCCGCCCTACGATTCTCACCGGTCGATAGACCCCGACTCGACGTGGTACTCTCTCTCTCTCTCTCTCTCTCTCTCTCTCTCTCTCTCTCTCTCTCTCTCTCTCGCTCGCTCGCTCGCTCTCCCTCCCTCCCTCTCCCTCTCTCTTTCTCTCTCTCTATGTCGTTCTCTCCTTGTCTCTCTTCTTTCTCTTTCTATCTTGATCGTGACTAGCTGGAGAGACGAAGAACGGAAAGAAACTAGGAACGCATAAGATACGGAAATCGTACGATCATGATTTGTATATGCGGACAGTGCGTTTCCTGATCGATATACAAGACCGCAAAGTGCATACGGATTGTCGATATAATGTGATGTCAAAGTGATAGTGAAAGGTCTGCACAGTGATAATTTAACCTTTTGTTCCGCAAAGATCGGGGGAAGGAAAATGGAAGTACGGAAGGATTGGTGAAGCTCTGCGACCTAAATTAATCAGTGAACACCCGACTAAGGTAGGATTTCCGGTAGGAAGTGGCGCTTTTCTTTGCTTTGCCAGACCCCTCGAGGCAATTATGCTTTTCGACTGACACTTTATCCGGTGGTGAGTCAGCCGTTGAGCAGATACAACCGTTCAAGGTATATGTATAGAAATTCGGGCTGTAAATAAATGTCGAACTACGAATTCTACCAAATGTTTCGAAATGTTTCAATAGTATTCTTATCGTTGACACTGCACCGGTCTATATCGCGACATGTTGGTCTATAACACTCGCTTCGATTGTTTCGAAATCTTTTAGACCAGCTCATAGTTGTATTCTGTTTCGAATGCATTATCATCTTTATGTTACGATATTTGTCAAGCTTATTTACAACTCAAGCATATACCTGGACGGGTGTATCTAAATAGAAAGAGGTCAATTGCGGACTCGTGATCGAAGACGCAGTGAGTAACCGTAATTGTGTTTTACGATATAAACATTAAAGAGGAATCATTGTTTATCTTGTTCTAAAGGAAACCGGCCCAGAAATGATGGTGCGGGAAGATGAAGGTGACGCAAGATAACGACCAAAGTTTGTGAATACGTAGATAGATCGTGGTTACAAATGGGCAAGTAAAAAGAGAGGCAGTGCGGCGAAAAGTTTCGCATCGGCACAATAGTAAATTATCGATTTGTCGACTGTTCGAGAGGGAGACTGATAAGAAATCTTTACCTCCATTCAGAAAATTGTTGCTGATAGCAACTTTGATTCCCGGTGATCGCGTCGATAAACGAGAACTCTCTAGGACCTGACAGTACCAACATATGGTATCGCCTGTATCGCTTTCTTAATATATATATAACCGGATGACTTATTTTATGTTTCACTACTTGAGTTATTGGAAGCGTTCTTCAATATAGATGGTTTGGTGGATGTACGAATTGATAAACGTTATCGAGACGAATGAATCTTATTGAGATATTTTTTCTAAGAATTTTTTCGAACAATTTTCTTAACTAGTAGTATAAAGAACAGCACAGAAAGTAACCCATATTTAAATAATAAGAGAATATTGCAGAAAAGTGAAGCGTAGAAATATGTGTATCGTTTCTGTTAGGAACTTCGAATCGGGACAAGAACGAGTTGTCTGCCATCGTATTAGGAAGCTTTCTTTTGCGGCGTGTTCATGACTTACGCGATTTTTGGTTGATGCGATTAAATGCCCTGGATACCTGTGCAACGAGTATGCACCGCAACAAGTAATCTCTTAGGGTCTTTGTAGTGCTTCGAGATTATACGCTTATACGTACTGGCTTCTTCGTACACCCCTGTCTTCGTAGATTTAACCCCCGTTAGCACAGTAGAACTTCATTTATACGAACTCCCCTTATCCGAACACGTTATCATGCCATTTTAAACTCGTATGCACACTGGTAAGAAAGAAAAGCTATTTAAAATTATTTGCTCAATAAACAAAGCGAAAGGATAAGTAGATTAATAGTGTATATCTGAGCCCGACATTGAGGCTTAATTATCTCAGAATTCGATCAGGGTAATTTACACGGCATAGCTTTTAATAGGCTTAATCGCCGAGCCCCTTTCTAATTTATTACACCGCAAACAACGGACTTACCGCCGCCCATCGTCTCCCTTGTTCCTTTTCGTTCAATTTTCCTGTACCTTTCATTAAGCCCCGCGGCTATTTTCCGTTTGATTATCTTGGAGATAAATTACATGTGTTCCATATAAATATAACAATCCCCTGGATCGTTCACGGTGGCTGCGCAACTAAAGCAAATCGAATGATACGTTTTACTGGTTTCTGCAGACAGAGAATGGCTGGATTCGAAAAGAAATCCCGGAGGATTGCGTTTCACAAACCAGTATCGTTATGCGTCTCTTGTGTCTACAACTTCAATGCAGTTCTGTTACTAGAAACGTTCGAGCAGGAACAACGCAGAACGCGATAAAGACATTTTATTGAGTACTTAATCTTCTGCTTGATTTCTAGCATCCATGACGCTTATACATTTGTGACAATTTTTTAAATTTATTGCCACAAAATACATAAAAATCCACAGTCCATTCATAAGGGTTGCTTAGTAGAAGGCTTGTACCATTTCATCTGTTTTGGTCCCATTGTTTACCTATCAAAAATAATCATTTCGTTCAGGAATAATTTTACAAGAAATTAATAGATTACATTCCAATTTATCTTAATTGTTAGTTAACCCTTACCTATATCACAGGTTTCTGAAAAGTAACAATTGGTCGACTAACAGATCTTTGCTAATGCAATTTAATGCAATTCGTGTGGTTAGATCATTTTAATGAGCTGTATTTCGACTCTAATAATTATACTCTAATAGTGGCACTAAGTCGGCGAGTTTCTAGTCGCACTGTTGGAAAGTTGACGATTCGTTCTCCATAGAAACATCATCTAGGATGCATAGGGAACCGCAATGGCGTCGTCAGTTCGCCTAATCGTTTGTTTCTTAGCCGGCCAACCCTCGGTGTCTCGTGGGGTGACGACCCTGTATGCCTGACCGGAGCCTGGCATGTATTTCGTATTTATTATTTATACGCCGGCAAGTGTCTACATCCGGTGGATGTGCTCGACGGCAGATACACTTCGTTAAAGGTACCCGGGCTGTTCTCCTAGCGAAGAATCGTGTGCACGTACAGAGCCAGGTTCTCTTCCCTTTCCAGCTCTAGCATTTCTAATTCAATGTGCACCGACGAATTCGTTTCAATCAACTCAGCCCCGTCTGTCCGAGCAGTTAATCAGTTAGTTACCAGCCGGCGACGAACCAGCCTCAATATGTTAATTCTCGATCATCCGATCAAGCCAAGATCAACTCGCAATAATTAATTGCGACTCGGTCGGCCGACTAGCATCGGCGAATCGGTTCGAATTATGCTCGTTTGTTTTGCTTACACCGGAGTTAAATGTCATAAGCGAGATAAAGAAAAGGTTTCACTTCATCATTCATCTCTCGAATCCGTAAAAATCCACGATCTACTTTTATCAACTAAAATGAGAAATACAAATTTCATTCTTGTATAACAACCAAAAAGTTTGACTGTCTCATATTTATAAAATCCACAGCCTAATTATAGGGTGATGAATCAGTACTGATATCTCATCTTCCGTTAAAAACATCGGTACATACATTATAAAAGTTGATTAGAATAGAGAAATATATTTGCTATATTCAGTCCACATGAAATTATAGTATCGAAATAAAATCAACAGTTATAAATTTCTTATCACCATTTTATAAAATTATTATTTAGAAGATAATTAATTATTTTCACTATCTTATAAAATGTATTATTACGATCTTATAAAATTATTATTTAGAAGACAATTGTCAAGGTAATGTTCTTTATTGTCAAGGTTATATTCTTTACACGTAACGCCATTGTCATTTAGTCTATTAAATCTTAAAGCGAGTCTGAATAAGTAATGGTTCTGCAATTCCGAGCAAATGGATGAAGGCTGCATCGAAGAAGCACAATAGAATCAGGGCTAAAAATGGCTATTCCACGATCTTTCCAATTTAGGAAAGTCATCCCCAAGCAGAGATAGGATAGAGAGACATTCTTCGGGGGTTATTCACGATCTATGTTTGGTGCGGTTCGTACTGCATGGACAAATAAATAATTAGAAGGGACACCATCTGTTCGAACGAGAGTGGACACACCGGTATTTATATCTTAATTACAACTATATATATATCCATGGCCTGTACATTTCATTTATTATGTACGGGCGCGCGTCGTGGGGGTGCGCACCCTCCTAAGTCGTTCACGAAAGCGAGCTTTTAACGAACGCACGTTGAAACGCACGGTGTCTGTCCTGCGGGAGTCGTCTGTCTGAGCAACGTCTGTTTGCCGGCAATCGGCCGGCAAACTTTCCTGAGAGACGTGTAATTTTATTAGACGGACAATCGGAAAAAGTTTACCACGATCCCACGGGAACTGCGACCGCGGACATTAATAATTATTCCGTTCAAGCTCGCGTGTGTTCGGAGCTCCGGCCCTTTGTGCCATTATTGTCCCGCAATACCTGTGAGTCAGAATTCTAGGGACAACCAAAGGGGGAATATGACAATACTGTGAAAGTCTAAACGAAACATATGCAATGTGGCTGACCGTGCTGGAGACAGCTTTAGGGTGTTTTTTTTTTTAAATGTTATCGAACTTCTAGCGAAATATCTTTTTATAGTGCATGCTTTAAAGTAAACTTTCTGAAAGTTTCGTTAAAAAATATCGATATTTGGAGACACGGTGGCAAGTTAAGCGAAGGTCTCGCAAAAAATGTAGACAAAAACTGCCTGGTTCGTAACTTATTAATAAACCTTTCTTTCTTTAATCATTTTAGTAAGTTGAAAATGATACATAAACAATGTTAATTTTTTTTAAATTTTTCTGAGGTTTTAAATGTCGTCTACTAATTTGTACAATAAATGCATACAATCTACAGTTTGCTGATTAATAAATGCTCCGAAATAAAAGAATATAAATATTATCACAGAGGTTTTTCGAAATTTTGATTTTTCCGCAAGCATCAGCGTTTCGAACAATTCCTTTAAAAACTTCATTGTTCTCTAGTGAAACATTCAGGTGACCCACTACAAGATATCCAGTTGAAATTGGTAATGAAGATGTTTTGCGAAAGGTGCGATTACGTTTAATAAAACTAGCTTTTCTCATAAAAATTTTAACGAAATTAGCTTTCTCCCCAACTGTCGCGGCTTTCGCTTTAATCGGAACCGTGCGAGTACGCGTTCGCGAACTTTTCAAATTAATGTCCAGGGAGAGAATGGGTTTTTACGAGCAAGATTTCCGTTTGACCGGAGAATTTTTTGCCAAACTAATTACGTCCTGAATCGTCGACAGGAGATTCCTGTTTTATGGACGGTTCCGATCGCGATCTATTCGATCCAGGCTGGATAACGATTTGTTCTGTTCGTTGTTCGTTCGCAGATGAGAGGCAAAGTCTCGCCCTCGATTTCTATTCGAGCGTAATCCATATGGATGGAGCAAACAGGAAGGGTTAAGGGGACAAGAAAAGCGTCGTTTCCCTGGTCCACGGCTCGGTTCACCGGATCGCGTTCGTCGACCAGGGACTGGCTTGATCTTACCGCGGCCAAACGTGAGTATCGTGTTACCTAACAGCCCTTAATTATCCACAGTGTATCCACCCTCTAATCACGCTTTGTTCACCACCCTTTCCATCATTATAAAACGATGTCGCCCATGTAACGGGACCTACCTTCCTATTTCTCACTTCTGAAAGCGTTTAAAGATCAAAACTAAAAACGGACGATGTTCGTTCTTTTTATAGTATTTTTCGTCCATCGGAACTGTTGAAGCACGTTCGTCTGTTAAGGGTGTGCATTTAGCTGAAAACCAAGTACAATGTTAATAATATTTCAAATAAGTTTTGGAAATATATTTTTTTGTAGCATTTTTTACTAAACTAAATCGAATTAGCGTAGAAATTAATTTTCCAGCTACCATTTTTTCATTAAAATGGAACGTTTAAAACAGAGTTTTGATCTCCTATGAAACGATTGTGATCTTTTCGAGTCAATAACGAACGATTAAGTTACGCAGCGCGCTTAAAAATTAACATTTTCGTTACAATACTAGAACAAATATTTATCGATCGTTTTAATATGTGGATCTCCTTGCATTCTTTAGCGTTCGCAAGCAGTATTAGTTTCGCTGCTTATCTCCATTGTTAAACGCAACGTGCCTCCGTTGTGAATCACTAAGACAACTTAGCAAACAAGAGCTGTAGACTTCTTAAATATTATGCCAGGTGCTATGACTCTAAATAGCAACGTGCATAATATTAATTCGACTATCTTTGTAGAAATCACGGGATCCTGAACGTCACACATGCGCGACTATGGTAACGCGTTAAACTGCGTGCATACGTATAAAACAGATTTGGGGAATAGGGAAAAGAACAAATTTTATTTCGATTTGAATGAAATTAATAGCAGTTATATTTAAAGTATAAACGGTTTTCTTACCCGTTGAATAAATAAAGGAATAAATATTTGGTAGATTCTGTTTGAAATCTTCGTCGCGAGTCGAACTCGTTATTCTTCGTTATTATATCGAGAACTCGAGTCTTAACACTAAGTAGCTGGAAAGTATCATACAGTGGCCGAAATAATCTTCGTAGGTTCTTTCCACTTAATAATGTTTTCTACTTAAACCGATATTTTTTTAAAATTCTGAAGTGGTAGATAAATTTCGGTTTTGAAATCAACGTGTTAATATCTACGGAAAACGATGTATAACATGTCGTAAAAAAATCTAACTGTACGGATTATTGGAAAAATCACAATTTTCTTGGAATATTTTAAGTTTAACAGAAATTGTCAATGTTAAAAAATGTTCATACCACGTTTCCCATATTTTTCCCTTACTCTGCAATATTTCAGCAGTATAACGTAAACAAAACTCATCGTTTTACCTCAATTCTATCAAAAGTTCATTGATCTTTCACAATCTCGACTCATATTAAGTTTTCCTCGTAATTAATTATTACCTAATCGCGTTTACGATAATTCTGTAAACACAAAATATAAAAAAATATTAAGTGCTCCCACATTTATTTTGCACAAAATTTCCAAATTTTTCTAATATCGATACGATAGCCCTATTAAATAAACATTATATCACAAAAATGAGACGAAACTATTACTATTTCGGCCACTGTATTTCGGTGGCTCGAACGCGAAAGAAACGAGTGAAAAATCCAATTGGACAGAGTCGATCGCGGCGAAGATTAATGTTCCATAGTTAGAGCTCTCTATCCACCCCCCTCCCCCCTCCCCTCCCTCACGGAATGGCGTCGGTCAGTTCGATTGTCGACGGGGTTTGAACGGTGAAAAAACGCCGTGGAACGGTGTCCCGAGTAAAACCGAAATTATGTTTGGTGAATTTGCAGTGACTCGGGACTCGCCAGTAATCGCTGTCGGTGCCGAGGATGGCGAGGAGCAGCAGCGGCACTGCACACGCATATCGGCGATGCACCGTCGTCGTTCATCGCGATGCCGTTGTCGCAGCTCGTAGTACGTCCCCTCGCGAATTACAATCGATCGGAATCGGGTACGGTAGGAACGGCAACGGCACTGGCACCTGCGGCAACACCAGCCACACTACCAATTTCGATCGGGAAGAGGGCACGGCCGATTAGAGTCGCCCCTTGCGATAGAACTGTCGACCTGCACGTGATTCATGTAAGTCCCTTCACGCAACGTTCCATTTTCTTTCGTTCTCCGCGAACGGGAAACGCGTTTACGCGGGATTTCACGGGAATCCGTTTCCCAAAGGCGTCGTGCGATCCCCTTTGTGCAATATTATTAGCGTATACTGGCCATCGTTCGTTTAACGGACAATGCACTGTCGTTAGCGTTGCAGGTATCCAAGTTCGTTAAAAATTTCGATTGTCGATCTTTGTGGAAACTGATGGTCTTCTGCGACTTCTCTTTCTTATTATACTCTTCGGTGCTTCTATTTGGACCACTGTTTTATATTACAGCTACTCAGTTTTGTTATAAGGGCGTATCCTGTTGAATAGACTGTGGATCTTTCGAGAAACTGATGGCTTTCTACGATTTTTCTTTCTTGTACTCGTCGGTTCTTTCATTTTCTTATTGTTTTATATCGCGGTTACTCACTTTCGTCGTAAGTTGTAATTGATTTTTAATATAAATTTGAATTACAATGAGTTTCTAATGAAATTTTAAATGAAAATTTCAAACTTAATTATGATTATTATTATTTAAAATTTAATCATCGCTTTATAAATATAAAATTAGTTGTAAGATTTTATTTATAATTAATATTTACAGTTACTTTAAAATCTAAAAAATAAAAATTAAATTCGATAATTAAATGTCAGTCTGGTTTGGATATTTAAATTAAATAGCTTTAAAGTTCGGTGCTCGGATATTTCATAGCTGCTTCTTATCGGGGCTATTTATGAACGCGAGTGTATCCTCATTGATTCGTAGGATCGTTGTAGGATCGAAGGTCCGTTCGCGAAGAAATTGGCCATCGATAGCCACGAAGGTTTCGCGATAAACGTTGCCGTCGCTTCGAGAGAATCACTTCTACGTAGCCTCTGTACATGTATAGACATTAGTTCACGGTTCGTGACACCAATTTCATTATCAAACACCTGTGCAAGTTTAACTTTGCCGAGCTTTCCCCTCTCTCCCTCTCTCTCTCTCTCTCTCTCTCTTTCTCTCTCGAAAGTTTGCCTTCTTTTCTCTGCACAACATCGCTCGGCAAGATACAATCGGAATTATGTGAAATAATATTGGCGCGCAGAATTCGAACCCGAGAACCCGGCGTTTGTTTACGAGCCGATCGATCTGTGCATACACACCAACGCTGCTCCGTTCTACACAATCTTTAACATTCAACCCTCGCGCACCGTTCGGGTCAGTTTGACCTAAATCGAAAATTCACTTTGAACCATTCAATGGTCGGTGAAATATTACTTCGATCCCTAAGCCGCCGCTGTGACTTTCCGAATAAAATCTCTTATTTAGCACGGTACATTTAATTCTTCGAGCGGTGTGCAGAAACTGGGATTTCATTTGGAGAGACGCGAATATAATATCGGATCTCGATTGAACCGTTTTAATGATATCTCGGTTATGCATTGATTTTCTAAAATTGTAAAATTATTGTTTCGTTATTTACGTGAACGATCGATACCAGTATTATTTAAAAACTTTGATTTATGGGCTGAGGATTTGATACATTTTGAAATAAAATGGGTAAGCAGAGTTTCAAGCATTTGCTAGATTAAAGGGATTTAAATGTACGGAACTAGAATTTGTGTTTGCAATCTCTTTCTCCGATTTAGTATTTCAAGTGTGTTTTGTTTCTTTGAATGGTGGTATATATATATAACGCTCCTGATGCTTGAGAAACACATGCGAAACGAAGTCGGAATTATGCAACACCTTCTCGTAGAACACGATCCAACGATTAAAGGAAGAAAACGCGCGATAGACATAAGTCGTTATTAATATTGGCAGCGATAATTGCGACGAGCCTAGTCGGAGGTGAGGAATGCGTGTGCATCTTACCTTTTACCGCGAAGCAAGCGGTGACTCAGATTTATCTGACGTTAATTAGAATGTAACTGCGTCTGTCTGTCGATCATCGCGTATGGAATCGTCGAGCTTTTGTCCCAGGGACGAAGCTTGAATAATTAAAATTCAACTACAAGACTAGAAGGCAACGCTGTTGCTGGAACCGAGAAATAGAGTATCCAGTTCGATGCACCATCTACTATAGTAGACCGTTCTGCGTTTAAATTAATGAGGATACTAAAATATCTTACAGCCAAATGTCACCTTTTCCGGTGGAGGTCGCGGAAATCCAGCAGCGAAATATTTGCGAATTCGTGATTGAATTATATAATCCTCTTGGGCACACACGTAACCGGGCACAGTGTCATACAAATTCGCTGCAACTATTGTTACGCTCCCGGTCAAATTCTCTTTGATTTTATTCTTCCCATTGTGTTCGCGCAACGGAACGATGATGCCGAGAGAAATAGGCGAAGATACGCGACAATGACGGCAATTATTTATAATAGCGGTCGTAACAGTTGATGTTCATAATGATGATCACTGTTTTAACTGGAATCGCTCTTTGGAAGTTTCATTAGCGAGAACACGGACAATTGCAGTTGTATCTTGTTCCTACTAAACAATAACGCGATTACGAAAGTTGATAGATTGCAGCACAGATCGGCGAATTAACTAATATCTCATTGCGATCAAGTAAATTAGTGCTAAATTCATTTATCTCCATTTTTTTCCAATTTTTTCATTTACACCTCTCTGCTTACAACCGCCTCAATCCTCAATTGAATGTTCTACGGATTTAGCAAAGCCACTGCTCGAACAATCGTTTCTGTTCAATGAGTGGAGCGGCTAGTTACGAGCTATTGGTGATCATTAGTAAACTGCGAATTTTATGCATTTATGGAAAAATAGAGAATTATAGAATTTTAGACAGTACTAATAATAAAATAATCTAAAATAGACTAACAATAGAATTTAAGACAGTGATGAAGACAATTTTTATTTCGCACGAAGATCCGCGGTCTGATCATTAGATCACTATACGCAAACTGATTCTAGTTGCACCACCATTCTTTTTGTTCGATATCGTACAATGAACCAGGTGCACACACAACCAGCTGCTATTTTTCTTAATTCTCTCTCTCTCTCTCTCTCTCTCTCTCTCCCCCATCTATGTATCTATCTACCTATCTCTGTTTTTCTCGCACTCTTTCTCTCTCTCTCTCTCTCTCTCTCTTTCTTTCTCTCTCCCTCTCTCTCCCTCTCTTTCTCTCTCTTTCTCTCTCTTTCTCTCTCCCTCTCTTTTCTCTCTTTTTCTCTCTCTTGCGCTTTTTCCTCTTTTTTCGACGACCACGGTTAAGCACTATATCGAGGACCTTGACATATTCGCTGGCATATTGCTCGCTGTTACACGCGCGAACGCTTAAATAGTGCAAACGACGAATTATCGACCACATCGCGACTCTTTCTATGCGAAACAGACGTTGCAGCATGCTTTGATAAAGGTGGCTGCGGCTCATGTGGGAAAAAATTGTTCTCCAACGGTTTTAGAGGACACCGAGAGCGATCCGAGAAGTTCTCGGTTAACACGCTCGCTCTTTTAGCCGGACCTGGAAATGTGCTCGGATTTTTGCGACAATTGAGAAAGATATTTTTAATCTTTTATCCGTGGTTTACGGAACGTTAATTAATTGCCGTTACCAGGATGTGGAGTTCATGCATTTACACCAGAAACGAGTAGATTAAAAGTAGGCAGATTAAAAGAATTGTGGTCAATTTTTCCTGTTTTTGATTCGTCTAGCACAAACTGTGGGGAGAGCTCTTTGAACATTATTTGAACGCGTTTAAATGTTCACAGTACTCTATAAAAATACAAAAACCATTATATTCGAGAGAATCTGCAGAATCGTACTGCGTAAGAATTGTTTGCATAGCAGCAAAGATTCTTTAACTATAAAGTTAAACAGCATTTTATTTAATTTCTGGTTGAAACGATTGTCGCAATAGCAACAACAAAGTAGGTCGATTAAATTGAATAAAGCCAGCCGAGCAGGATAAGGCGTGCCGCCCAAACACAAAGAGTTCGATAGACTTGGCCTCGAAGCAACGAAGTTAGAGGGTGCGCCTCGAACTTGGCACCCTCCGACGAGCTATCTCGTTTGTTATAAAACAAACGTGCACGTTGCACTGATCACTAGAAAAATTGTCCCCGGTGTGTCTATTCAACGTTCACGAGCACTTGCTCCTACGTTGTCCCCTCGTTGCTATTGGATCTAACACGACACCCCTTTTTTCTCTTTCCGTTGCAGAAATCGAGAGGACGAGTGCATCTCGCAGAATGGATTCGTGCGGGGTCTACTTGTCTCAGCTGCGAGCGATGCTCGTGAGGAATCTGTTGCTAAAGAAGCGAGAGAAACGGAAGACCACGGTGGTACGTAGCATGCACCTTTTTCAATCGCAATTAAATACAAAACGCCGTCGAGATTTCAATAGTTTTGAAACATCGATTAACACTAGGTTTGCGGAAAGTATCAAAATAAGGGATCGCTAAAATAATTTAATTGACTATTACGTAGAATCTTGATTAACTCAACTGGATTTTCCTTGATTTTTATTGTTTAGATTTTTTATTATTCCAAGTAATAACGATTAAACTATACACAGACGGATCTTGGTCAAACCTCGACCTATCATTTTATCCTATTGTATTAATAATTAATCGAAAATAAAAAAACTTAATTATCAATTTTGAATTCGGATAATCGAAGTTCCATTATATTCAGATTGTAAAGATACATTTATGAGTTATTTAATCATCGTAGTGTTCGTTCTGAAGAAAACTCTACGAAACTGTACGGTGAACTACTTTCTTCACAATTTTTTAAATTATTCTTTTGATTTGCATGTTCGATGGACAGTTTGCTCTTCCATATCCTGTACATTGTTTTCCAACTTCTGCACGACCTTCACCAAATTTGTCGAATAATATACAGCAGTATGATACAAAAAAATTTCAGTGGCGCGAAATTTAAAAATAACACTAAAAAATGGACAACATCTATCTATTCATTCAACATTACAAGCATGGTTTTGTTTCGATCGCAAACTTGCAAAATACCGCGTCGCAAGTAAGCTGTAAAGTGCAGCTACTTAGCCGCCCGATCATTGGATCGAATCCTGGAGCCGTTGCCATTGGTCAAGTAGCCGTCGTTATCCTTTGTGTCCCAGCATCGTCGCGACCACGGGGCCATCGAAATCAAGCAGCAGGGTGGCGGCGGCGGCGAGGGATGCGGGGAAGTTTGTAGGAAACAGAAAAGTTCTCCACCCGGCCGACCCTTGGCCTAGTTGGCACGAAGCTCACGCAAAAACACCCACCGAAAACGAATTGGTAGCTCGCCCTCCCTTCGCTGCCAGTGCCGGCCCCGTGTGTCGTCGGGGCGAGTGCCGTCACTTCGTCGCCATCCGATCAAAATCGCGTCCCGAACAGGGTTTCCTTCTTCGCCATTCTTCGCTCCGCATTTCTTTTCCTTCACCCCCCCCCCCCCCCCCCCCC